TTTAATAATTAGTTCTACACGGTGGCATATAATTTATCGGCATATTTAAAGCGTAAATACTTTCTTCGTGATTGTCAATATTAATTGAAAGCATATACTTATATCAACGGATGCTATGATATCATATGGATGCCATCACTAATTTTAAGAAATTCTATCTCTCTTCCAACTAAAAGTGTGTGGTTGTTATAAATCTCTATAATGTTTTTTAATTTAGAATAAATCTGTTTTTATGATATAACTACGCTGGATATAAATTAGTTTGGTTCATGACAGCACTCTGAGATTACATTATTTCATAAAAACCGTCCTGTATATAGCATCACTGAAATCTATCGATTCCTCTAGTGTTTTTGGGTAGACACTTGGAGGTTTTGTGTCGGTACGGAGTATAACGTTATTGTATAGCCGGCACACGTCAGACAAGCAATGTCTCGTTTTAACTGTTCTCACTCCACCGTGGCACGGTGTATATTAATGTTTCAAACGGGATGCATAGTGTACCTCGTAAGGATCCTGCGCCTGCGCCTGCGCGCCTGCTGGCTACGGGTCGCGGTGGTGGCTTCGGTTGCATTGCAAAAGTTGGATGTCTTCAGATGCAGGGCTCTGAAGTTTAACTTGTTTTTGGATGTATGATCTTTATTAATGAAGTATTTCATACTAAAACGTTTATTTAGATTTTTTTCTCATGGCCGCTTGATTTTTTTTTTACCTTCAAAAAAAAAATTTTTTTTAGCGATGTTCTCTCCAGACACGTAACTATTAGCAGAAGTATCATCAATGTATCTTTATTAATATGTAGTCCACTATTAACAGATGCAATTACAACGGATTTTTGTTTCTAATTTGTAGCTGTCGCACAACAAACGACTCTCATTGTTTATAGGTTTTAATATATATATTTTTTTTGATTTGGCGCGTTCTCGAGAATGGCGAGTATGTCTGCGGCATGGATAACCTCATCTTCTGTACCTATATTTTCTTGTGGTGGTGCAGATGGTCCTGACTGTGGTGATGAAGACATCGTTGTCATGACAGGATTGGAGTGCAACGGTAATAATAGGCTCGAATGACCGATGCTCTGGTTTATATAGCCGTTCTGAACTAACGCTTTGTGGATTAAAATCGATCTCGTCGTTTTGCACATCCACACATGAAGACCTAGAGAATATAAAACATTGAATTTAGATAATGACAGAAAATAACCAATGTGGTAAGCTTACATCACACTTTTACTTGACACAGAATGCCCAGTATGGTAACCTCGCATCACATTTTTACTAGACGGAGAATACCCAGTATGGTAAGCTCTCATCACATTTTTACTTGACGGAGAATACCCAGTGTGGTAAGCCCGCATCACATTTTTACTTGACGGAGAATACCCAGTATGGTAAGCTCTCATCACATTTTTACTTGACGGAGAATACCCAGTGTGGTAAGCCCAGTGTGGTAAGCGCATCACATTTTTACTAGACGGAGAATACCCAGTATGGTAAACTCGCATCACATTTTTACTTGACGGAGAATACCCAGTGTGGTAAGCTCGCATCACATTTTTGGTTGACAGAGAATACCCAGTATGGTAAGCTCGCATCACCTTTTTGGTTGACAGAGAATACCCAGTATGGTAAGCTCGCATCACGTTTTTGGTTGACAGAGAATACCCAGTATGGTAAGCTCGCATCACGTTTTTGGTTGACAGAGAATACCCAGTATGGTAAAATCGTATCACCTTTTTGGTTGACAGAGAATACCCAGTATGGTAAGCTCGCATCAACTTTATAATTTTCTACCTTCAGATTCACTCTCCGATGAATAAATTACACGAAGATTTTTCTTTTTTCAGAGTCTCTTGTAATTTTCTTGTTTGAATGTTTTCTTCGCTGTCTTCGTTCCTTCGTCTTCTCCCCAGGTTGATAGTAGCTTCGTATATTGTAGACGTGCGGAGGCTTCGGCAAAACACAGAAATGAGCGCAGTAACAAGAATATCCCACCTTATCGGGTAAGTAGTGGGAGGTAGTAAGGGAATAGTCAATACAACAACTAATTTTTATTTTTATATAAAAAAAAAAAAAAAAAACTATAAACTACCGTGCGAGGCTGGTGCTTGGGAATACTACTACAATATGTAAACACAAATCGCTAAGAATGAAGCTGGAAACATAATTACACCTGTATACTCACTACCTAGGTACTATAGGAAACAAATAAATTAGGTAGCGACACTACATTACGTCATGTATAATGATGTAGGCAATAACCATCGCTCGACACTTTATTTAAAAAAATAAAGATTATCAATAAATGTTGTTACCGAGATCACAAGATTAAAAAATAAAATTTCGTAATTTACAAAATAATAAACTATAAACATAATTAGTATGCATTTAAAAAAAGAACATGCCATATTGTGACCTCGTTCACGTACATAATATAACCTCCCGGCTAACCAAAATTTGAATTTAGAATTAGAATTTACGAACTGTTATTAGCTCTAGCTGACCATCAGTAATCCGCTGACTGTCTGTTGGGAACTACTGTGTAATATAAATAATTATATGGCCATGCTCTGCTATTTTAATGTATATTGTTATTTGGGATCATAAAATTAAAACTTCCTAATCCTTATAATAATAAACTATAAACACAATTGTTATAGATTCAAAAAGAGAACATGTAACATTGAGACCTCGATGACCTACATATCTTCAACCGGCTACCCAAAAATTTGAAATTAGAATGAATTATAAGTTCGAAAATTTAAATCTTATACGAACTGTTATTGGCTCTAGCTGGCCATAGATAATCCGCTGACTACTTGTTGGGAAATACTGAGTAGGATAAATAACAGTATGGTCATGCTACAGTAAGCGATATGGCAAGCTGTAGGTCTTGTTTTCAACGTTCGCATTGCATTGTCGACGTTGCCGATTTTGTGTACTAAAGCCCGGTATGCTGTTACAACAATTGAAATGTGTATTTTATGCACTCCCATTAAAGTTAATATTTGTTTGTACAACAAAGTTTACCAGATTATACGATGTTGCTAAAGGCAATATTTGTAGTATGAGAGTTTAGTAGTGCATATTTTAGATTAAGTAAATAACGGTAGATTTTAGGATAAAATAATATTGTGATCGTTTTACGACTTAGACAAAATTTTAATTTATAGTCTATGGTTTAGTACGATTTATTTTTCACTTAATTTTAAAGTTAGATCAAGGTTTCTAGTTTATTAAATAATATTAATTTTCTTCGTAAAATCACAGATAAGATAATTTTAATAATTAAACTTATAATATGTGTAATTACATTAATATTTTATTTTAGTTTGGAACAACGTCAATTCAAACTCTTTACTTCATTCGATACCGTGACGTATTTTTGCTATGAGAGCACCTCGTAATAAAACAAACGCTCTGCCTGATTGAAAGCAGATCCCAGAACGTATGCTCGAGACTTGTTACGAAACTACTTAGAGACTTTTATTTATTATTTTTTAAAAAAAGTGAGCTAAATGGTTTTATTTCACCAGCTAAGATTAGGTATACAGAATTTTTTGTGACATAAGGTCTTGATTGATCTAGAAAAATACCGAAAAAAAAGAAGTAGAATTGGAGTAGTAGAGAACGCTGTATAACCACACGTAGTTGTGGAATATATGTAGATGGAAATACCACACCTCTTCAGAATATCATACATTAAGTGTTATTTCGTTTTGCATGGTGAGTCAAAAGTATAAATAAAACGAAAATAAATAATACCACGTTTATTGTCTACATAACAAAAGATCAATTACTTGGATTATACGTACAGCTAAACTTTAGTGGTATTTCGCCAATTACCTAAATTATAAAGGAAGTAAAAAAGAAATTTTTTGTTCAAATTTTTCAGTAGTAACCAATTTAAAGTTCTTTTTTTAAATTTAAATGATTCTAAAGAAATGTGGTTGGTAAATATTCCATTTTATTGGCGGCAAAACTGACAATTCTAATACGGAATATTCTATTTTCAAAATGTGTCCAGTATTTCAGAAATAGAACTAATATTAATTATTTTTTTAAAATTCAGAAACAGCAAAGAAGTGTGTTCGTACAGCCAAAGCTCATTCGTGATTTTTTCACGTCTGTCGCCTATGAAGTAAATTTATTAGAGAACATCATCAATCCGTGCTGATATGTATTCCAAAGGATCATCAGGACATTCCAAACTGTATTCATGACACTTGTTATCCAAGCCGTAATATTCTGCTTCATAAAAAATATCTTCTATTGTATCTTCGGAGACAGATGTTGAAGGTCTGTAAAGTGAAAAAATAAATGAAAAACCTAATATCTGCTCCTGACAGAGATACTTAAACATTTTATACAAAATTCCGACATATATATGTATATATTATGTTATATTTCTATATACTAGGTATTTATGCATAAAGATCCTAATATTGTAGTATATATAAAATTATAAAAGTATTTAATTACTGTTATTTTTTCTGTAACAGATTTTTTAATTAATTTGTTTACATTAGGAAATTCAGCCAAGATGTATGCAGTATAGAGCATGTTGTTTGGCTTGATTTTTTTAATACAATGATATTGCGATTATCAGTTTATTTGTTTCTTACATGTTATAGTGGCTGGACAAATTATCATGAAATTTGGCATTAATGTAGAATATTGGATGGAGAATGAAATAGGTTACTTTAATAATAGATATTATCTGTGATAATAGTATCTTTCTAAAGCCACACTCAGCCAATAATAAAACTTGAGTGATGCATTTTTAACCATAACCTAGAAAAAATTTACATGATTTTTATTCTGCTTTAAGCAAACTACCATACTACCAAATATTCCCAGAGGTACATACAAAACATTTACATGTATTTAATTTTGCGTGAAAACAAAGTACCGAATATTCCTTTCACCAGGTCTATGCAGACAAAGCCGAGGGTAGAACCTAGTGATATAACAAATTAATCGTAATAACATACTTACGTAAGTATAAGGTGAAGGATATCGCCTAATAATCCGTTGTGGGGATACTGTGCAGTACCAGACTCACAAATAGCCCTGAGTAAGCACGCCCGGCCCGGGTAGCCGTGTCTGTGGAGAAATAACCTTATTATCAGATAGAGTTGCCGATTAATACAATTTCCTTATAATAGGGCGATTGGAATAAATGTAATACCGATTATTATTTATGGCAACACTAGTAAACTATCTCGATGCCATAAGGGTGATATATATGTGGGAATATCGCGAATGAGATTTGAAGACAAGTCTTATCATCCTTATCCTTACCAATATTATAAATGAGAAAGTAATTCTGTCTGTCTGTCCCGAGTTTATATGCTAATTTATGTATTATGGACCGATTTTGATGAGACTTTCACTCGCATAGCTTCTGTTATAACCAGTAATTTAGACTGCTTTTAGTTTTTAAAATTTATTTAATTAAAAAAAAAGTTAAATCTACAGGGACGAAGACATAGGTATCAGCTAATAAGTTATAATAAATAAAAATAATAGAATATTACGTCCATTCTCTAAGAAAACTAAGGTGATTAAAATAGTAAAAATCCCATCTCTAATTTCGAATACAAAAAAAATTTACAACGAAATCGCAGTAAATGAACTGGAAAACGGAACAGAGCGTCGTGCCGCAATCAAATTCCATTTGGAATCAGAATCAACCAACATTCAGCGTGGTGAATTTAATTTCATAAATCGCAAAATCCACATTACATTATTTGCATAATACATCCGCGTAACTTTTGTATGTTAACTATTGAACGTTTGTGTATGCTCAGTAGAGTTAATGAGATGATATTTAAGCGGGTTTGTAATTTTTAATCTGTGGTAGTAGTAGTAGTTTTTGGTAGGTTCCGTTACGTTCCTAATTTGAATTAAGAAATGTTATATTTTTGTAGACATGTATAAGCTTATTTGAAAAGAATAAGAGCCAAGTTTCTTAGCTAGAGTGCACTCCGACCTAATGGTAGATTTTGACATATAATAAGAGTCTGTAATAGACCAGACTTATGCTCAGTAGAGTTAATGATATGACAATTAAAGGGTTTTGTAATTTTTAATCTGTGGTAATAGTAGTAGTTTTTGGTATGTTCGGTTGCGTTCCTTTTTAGAATTTAGAAAGAAATATCATGTAGTTTTGTAAAGATGTACAAGATCATTTGAAAAGAATAAGAGCTGAGTCTCTTGTCAGTGAAATGATGGTGGATTTTGATATATCATATGAGTCTGTAATAGATCTTCATGGATAAAGATACAATATAAAAATATCTATATCTACGAGTGGTTCCTGGCCCAGGAGTCTAAATTCGACTATAATTAATTTAACATTCAGTAAGTCTATAGACAAATAATACTAAAGACAAACAATATTATTCTATTTTTAATTTGACCATAGACTTTAACAATAAACAAACGATTATATATGCGTGTGTGTGTTAAATATATGGTAGTGTGTGTAATGTGTTTTAATGTTTAATGTAGTTTTTCAGTATTAAAAAAAATTGAATTCTACACTTTTTCTCTATCTCATCCGTTTAATTTTCGTAAAAGGAATACTAAGTTTTTGTTTCTCGTATTAATATGTAGATTAGGTACTTACTTTTCCAGCATAGATTCAATAATAAGATACATGTAGCTTCTTGTTAATCCTTTGTGGCCGTTCACACTTCTCTCCTTCCTATCTCTCGCTGTCTGCAGTAAAAAAACATAATTTACATTCGATATAAAATGTTTATATATATATAACGTTTTTTTACTTATTATATTTTACAGCTCTGGATACTAGTCCTTAGGACCAATTACATATAAAAGGGTTGCCAGTTAGGTACACGCTACGTTGTTTCGGATATGCGAAAGTTTCCGACTTTAGAAATAGACTTTATAAAAAGACGCTCTTCAACTTCAGTATTACCTATTTCAGCTACTAAGCAGCTTATTATTTATTATTCTATAAGCTGTTACAGTTAAGGGTGACATAAAGGTAAAGATATAGATACATTATTATATCGATTTATGTTGCTTTTATAAGTAGTAATGACGAGTTTCACAACTCTATTTAGTTAAGGCATATGTATGAGGTTTTTTGAGGATGGAAATAAATAAATAAACCATACTGTTACAATTTGTGAAAGCATGTTAGTGGCCTTATTTGTTTGTTAAATTATTTTTACATATGAAATAGAAATAGAAATAATCTTTATTCAAAATAAACTTAATATAATCAAGTTTTTTGATTCTACCGCTCATTCGGAATGCAGACTCATCACAAGAAGAATGAACAAGAAACTTGTAAATGTTAACTATAGATATAGTTTTCCTATAATAAATAAATAGTAAACGATTGAGTCATGACAATTATCAGTGAATTTTTAAATGACATCGTAGAGTCGCCTTCTAGCAATGGTATTTGCGAATGCGATATTAAATTTTCAAAAATAGAGCTCACTTCTGCTTAATACAACGGCAACTCACCTACAATTTCCTTGATAGTTCAATCGCAAAGTCATCACGGCGTCGATGATCTAGTTGTTTAGCACACCGTATTACTTTCGATGGCCGCGGGTTCCTCGCATAGTACATTATCTATGTACCGTCATTATCATCATAATTTCAGCCCGGAAGACGTCCACTATCGAACAAAAGCCTCGGCCAACTGCTATCTGCCTTGCCCATTGCCACTTCAGTTTCGCTCGCGCTATGTCGCTCACGCTAGTTCTTTTGCGAAACTTCTCATTTCTGATATGATCATGCAGAGAAACTCCAAGCATAGCTCTCTCTATTGCCCTCTGAGTGACTCTGAGCTTATTTATGAGGCCCATAGTTAGCGACCACATCTCTATGCCGTAAGTCACCACTGGCAACACACATTGGTCGTAAACCTTCGTCTTGTGACACTGCGGTAATTTAGACGAAAGTAAATCGGAATCGAAAATATATCGGAGCTTCGCGAAAGCTGCCCATCCGAGTTGAATTTGACGATTGATCTCTTTCTCAAAATTGGACCTACCTAGCTGGATAGTTTGCCCTAAGAATATAGTATATTATGTGTGTATTTACAAAAAATGTACCATATGTATTTATAGCAGTTACCGCTATGTGTATTATCCTGAGATATTATGATTATTTGTTAGATAGCCGCGAGTTCGTTTGTCTCCTACACTATATAAAAAATGTAAACATAATGAGATAATACTTACAGCGACGTCTCCTAGAAGCGGGTCCAAGTAGCTTGCGTTGGCGACTGTATAATAATTTGCTTCGAAGAACCAAGCCACGCTGACTGTACTGTCAGGGTGCAGAGGAATCGATACTGTTGCAAATACCTGGAAATATATTGTAGTTTTATTATATAAAACCTTCTATACAAATGCAGGAGCAGTATCACGAGGTTAAGATGATAACTACGGGTATAAAAAATCATTTGTTGACAAATGTCCATGGTGCTGCCCCAGTGGTCTGTCGGTTTAGCAGACCGCCTTGCTTTCGATGATGGCGGATTCAAATCCTCGCCCATATAAGCATTTGCAATTATGAGTATGAATGTTTGTGTAGCTTCTGTGTATACAAAATGTATGTATTTACAAAAAAAATATATATATTTTTCTCTATTATGTGTAATTTAATATCTCTCTATATGTCATAATTCAAGTTCTGCTTAGCTTGAGATTAGATAGCGCAGTGTAAATTATTCTAGTGTTATTATTATATTGGTTTATTATTATGATTATTTACTTATTTCAGGCTACTAGGCTCATATTATAAATATCTTATTGACATATATATGATTTAATATTATAAAACTAAGATATTGAAACACTGACGGTACTGATGACGGCAATCTTCTACGAATTATGGTGACGGTTACAACTTTCCATCAGACGGTACATTAGTTTGATTCTCATTTTCTTCTTCTTATTATTCGATACGTTCTTGACCGAATGGCCATGGTTATTATATACTGGAGTGTGAGACAGATATCATCCGCCTTATGACAGCTCACCACTTCTCCCTACTATCTACCATTCTGGTACACTCGTGGAGTGGACCGTCTACAATTGCTTTGACTTGGTCGGTCCACCGCATGGGGTCGACTGCTATTTGAGTTAAATATAAGAAATACTTACTCCAGATTGAGTACCCGTTGTGAAGATAAGATACCGTCTCTGACGTTTGTTGACTTCTGCATGACTGGTAGTTGCTATGACGAATGTTATGAATCTGAAATAATATATAACTAGCTCTTACCGGTGATATTGTTAGCTTTTTTTATATTTTTTTAAATTGTATAATACAATAATGTAATATGCTATCATATAATGCTGGGGTACAATTTAATATAATTATAATAATTTCGCATTTCTTCACATGAAGCGGACTGTATAGAACCCTGTACCCATTATATAACCACTGTGCCACATTCATTGCAAAATAAACAATTTAATATAATTTATTTATTTATTTATAATTTATTATACTATTATATTATTTTGATACTAACCTATGACCACGTCTTCATAATACAATCTATTTTTACGTTTATTTTAGTATTTTTAAATTTCGTGTAGTAGTAGTTAATTCCACGGTCATTTTTAAAATACACACACTAATATAAAATTCTTTCAAAAATTGTGTAAGTGGCCTGTCACAGTTTGCCTTATTTTAAACAGGAAGTACCTGTTCAAAATAAGTGACTTAAATTTAAATACACAATCAAATATTATATACCCCTTAATATGTCCCTTAATTATATTTTCACTGCACCAAACACGTATAAAATGTCATTAAAAAATGACACTAATCACGGCACAATAATCACTACAACATTTGTAGACCGCTAGCACCCTATTATTCAATCTTTATATTTCCATCTATGGATACTTCAATCAATTTTAGGCACAGGTATGCGGTGAACCTTAATTTGAGGATATTGGACACCGATGGCCTAGGAACATTAATTTCCACCGTACAATATATTGAGAATATTGAGGCCCGAGGAGTATAGTCTGATCTTTATCCATTTATGCAGCTTTTCTGTCACGGTCGCCATGTGATGACAGGAGGTGGTGATTAATGGTGAGTAGTTAACGAATTATATCAGTTTGATAATATATATTAGTGATATAATTAATGGTTTACATAGATTTAAAGTACAATGTTAACAGACAAAAGTTGAAGTAACGAATTTATAAATAAACTGTAAGATTAAATGAATGTTTATGAAACGAATTATACTATTTTTATGTATTTATATATTTATTTACGTATTTTTAGAAATTCTTTTATTCGCTATGTTGGTGCTTTTAATGGGTACCGAGACATATTTACTGGTCTTGTTTAAGTGGGCGGGAAAAATTCATCTTAAGTGCGCTCACTATTAAAAATATTACGATGCAAAAGCGAAACAAACTAGGTTATAGCACAGATAAGATAATATTACATATTTATAGTTACTAGTACTCGGCCAATAGTCGAGATTCGACCATAATCAAATCAAATTATAGGTATGTACATAATAAGGTTCTATTGTTTAACCTATCTATTTTAATAAATATTTTTTTCTTTCTTTCATTCTATTGTTTAAGACTATACTTTTATGCCGGTGTGTGACAAATATTATACTTGGTAGTGTGTGCAATATTTTTTTATTGTATTCATAGATTTTATTACTTATTTTAAAAAAGGAAATAGCTTTCTGTACTCATCTATATAAACTCTATATCCTAAGTGTGCGATATTTCATAATCCTCCGTAATTTTTGTAAAAAGGGGTACATAGTTTTTGCTTTACATATTTATATACCTAATGATATTTTTAAATTTCTGTATTACAAAATTTCATATTAATGTCATTTTATTATGTAACTCTAGCTTTTCCAGCTTCACAAATGGTGACAGAATTCTATCAATATTAGAAGAAACTAAACTAACGTAAAACTAAAATAATTATATTTAAAAATAAGCATACATATCGAGTTATGATGACTTTGTCTTTTTTATCAGATTCTAATTAATTCTTAACTATAATCACCTAGACAAAATAAACTAAAAAGTTGTATAGGATTATTTAAAACTTCGTAAATTCTAATTTCCAGTACCATTTATTCCATTTCATCAGATCAGCTCTACCGCCAGGGTATTGTAATTCCAGTTGTACATATGTATGAAAGTTTTACATAGATTCCAGCAATTGCTGAAAAATGCGCTACATATATAGTGGAAAGGGGAATGGAAAGAAAGTTATCTAGAACTAAGCAAGGTAAATAAATACTTGTAATTTTATTTACAATTTCATATTAGATGAGGTAATGGTGACAGCATTTGGGATGGGAACGGTTGCACACAGGCCAAACTGCTACATTAATTATAATTAATTTCAGTTTTTTTTTAATTGTAATTATATATTGTAGTGTTTATAGGATAATAGTCATAACATCATGGTCCTTTAGGATGGCAACGCATGAGTTACATCTCGGGTCACATGATAACGTGAAGTCCATTGTGCTGTTTATGTATATAGGCGACGGTTACAGCTGATCATCTTGAGGGCCGTCAGCTTGTTTCCCATTCCAAATACATAAAAAAAAATAAGAGAAATATAAAAATATACATACATTAGAATATAGTAAACAATCCACATGGCGACACTAAATAACATTATTTTACAGTGCAAGTACTTATATTACGAGCAAACTACGGGGTACTGCAAGTACAGTGTGACAAACTTGTAATGTCGTGCTGTATCGTTCGTCACAGTTTATACAAACAATTAGATGAATCGACGTTGACATCGCGTCAAGCCCTGTTAATTCTGCCTAAAAAGGCGCACTTTCGTGCAATTAGCAGCAAAGTACCGCGCTTTCCGACGGTTGCAGGTTCGATACCCGCACGATATTTATAAAAAAATATATTGGGTTTTTTACGCGGGTCAAAGCGGTTATATGCGTTTTGTTTTTTCACAAACGGCCCATCTGTTGGTAGACGGTTACCGCAAACGTATATGGTCGACGATTGTTATCTGATGACTTTATAGGTATGTACCTACATAAAAAATCGTCATCATCAACCCAATGCAGTTACTGCTGGGCATAGTACTTTCCCAAGGCATGACTCTTTTAGGATTTAGAAAAAAAATATCCATTATTGAAAATATTGGAAACAGGTTGTCTTTTGTAGTAGTAGATGACCTATATATTATAGTTTATTTTGTACCAGTTGTTCATTGTGTTCTTGCATTTACTGATAAATTCTTTATTTGTTTGGTGTGAGTATGTTATTGTTAGCATTGTTATGACTTATATAGACAAAACGTGTAAACTGGCAGTACGACTGGTCCATCGACTCAGTCCCTCAATGAGCTATAGAAAGAGATATGCTTGGAGTTTCTCTGAGAGATCAAATCCGAAACGAAGTAATTCGCCAGAGAACTAAGGTTACTGATATAGGTCTTCGTATTCACAGGTTAAAGTGGCAGTGGGCTGGTTATATTTAGCGCAGAACCGATGCTCGGAGTAGACGTGTTTTAGAGTGGAGACCACGGATAGGCAAATGTAGCGTAGGACGCTCCACAAATAGATAAAACGCCGATGTAGGGTTGCGGATAATAACTGGAACTTAAGGGCTGGATCTCGTGCCCAGCAGCGTGCCTTGGGAGAGGCCTATATACGACATTGGACTGCAGTGGGTTGATGATGTTATACTAAATTTATTCTATTCTATTCTGATCTTTCGACTAACATCAACCATTAGTCATCCTGTTCTACCACTAGATCTACCACTAATTGCTTCTACGAACTAGATTGCAGAAGTTTGTTCCGTACGGGACTTCCGCGCACAAGTGTCCATTAATTAATTCTAACTCTACCGATATTTGTTCTAACACTAATTTAGTGTTAACTAAGAATTAGAATTCTAGATTTATCATGAAATTAAAATGTTAAAATTACACACACGTGTCGATATGTATTTGTAATTTATGTAGTACCTACATACGTGTGTTCAATTTTATTACTTTATTAAAATCCTCTAATAATACATGGATGTTCATATGACATGTTCGTATTGAATTAACTTAATCCTCTTTTTAAAGATATCAGGTAATAAATAGGCAATACATGTTCCATAACAAGTTATTCCATTTATCTCATCCTGCCCTAGTGCTCTGTTAGCTGAAATCGTCTTTATAAAGTTATGTAGTGTACATAATTAAATATAATAGTTTTGAAGATATAAACGTATTCGCAATTTGCTGTAAATTTATATTGTACTAGTTTTTGCCCGCGATTTCGCTCGCGTTAATTTGTCCCCTTAGGGGTGGAATTTATCAAAATCCTTTCTTAGGGGATGTCTACGTCACAGTAGCTTTATGCATGCAAAGTCTCTAAAATTGACAAAGTTTCATACAAACTTTCATCCCTTATTTTATCCCTTTGGGGGTAGAATTAATCAAAATCCTTTCTTAGCGGATGCTATGACATAATATCTACCTGCATGCGAAATTTCAGCCCGATCCGTCCAGTGATTTGGGCTGTGCGTTGATAGATCACTATGTCAGTCACCTTTGAGTTATATATATTTAGATTAATTGAACTAAATAAGTAAAATGAAAATAAAATAAATATATTAACGTACAGTAACCAAACAAGATAATCAGAATCATGTAAACGCTTCTTATATCAAATTAATTGCGCTCCAATTATACGGACTTCTCAAACACAAAAAGGTACATCGCGGCTAATTAGAAGAGATTACGAATGACGATCCGCTTCTTAAATTTCTAATTACAACTGCGTAGAAATAAGAAAAAATCAGACAGAAATTTAATTATGCAACCGCATTTTATGAATATTAATTTGCTCTTTACATTATTTTTATTGAACGCTGTGTGCTGTGTGGCCTTGTGGTTACCACTCTGATGTACTTCGAAAGAAAGTAGATTCGAATCAGGTTGGCAGAAATAAATATTGTATTATACACACAATGTGTATAATATAATATTTATTTCTGATTAACTCAGAAGGCGACTATATACGGCGACTATATACTGAATTTAGAAGGCGCTCCAAGCTAAGAAGGGCGTGTGGATTATGGGTACTAGATAACTGATGATTAATATGAACTAGCAGTCGCCCAATGGTCGAAATTCGATCGTAATTAATTTAAATTATAAGTTTGTATATTGCTAGTAGTTATGTGAGCCAAATACAGTGTTATTAGTATGTAGTGTTATTAGTGTGTAATGTTTTTTATAGTAATTTATTTATTATGCATAATTTAAAAAATATTAATATTTTCTATTTTTCTCTATATGAACTACTAGCAGTGCCCGTGATTTTGTCCGTATTATAGTGACCTTGACTAAATAAAGAAAAATATTAAATAATCTAAACCAAAATGTTAAAACAAAAGTTCCATTGTTCTAGCTTCAAAAATGACGATTTTCCATACAAACTTTCATCTCCTCTTTCAACCCTTATTTTGCATTAAAAAATAGCCTATGTCCTTTCTTAGAGTCTAGAATATCTGTGTACCAAATTTCATTTAAATCGGTTTAGTAGTTTTAGCGTGAAAACGAGACAGACAGACATACTTACTTTCGCATTTATGCGAAATGTGCGAAATTTGTTACTGGAGTAGTAGTCCATGCAATTTTCGAAAAGAATGGTACAAAGTTTTTGCTTTACGTATTGATAAAAATATATCTATATCTTTTGTAAGTACATATTGTTTATAGAAAACACCCCTAACAGTACAAACAATCCCAGTCATGAATACAAAAGTTTGCATCGTGCGAGAAATCGAACCGGCGCCCACCGGAAGTAAAGCGATGTGCTATAACCGATACACAATCGAAACCATGAATATAGTATATACAATATCTACATACAACATTTTATTATTGACTGCCTCGATATGGTCTAGACCATATAGCATCCTATGGGCGCTGGTTAAATTTCTTTCACGATGCAAACTAAATGAAAGTATGTAAGTAAATAAGTGTAAGTAGCTATGACGTGGTCTAGTGTCTTGAGTAGTCAGGCTCACTAAAATATCCAGACATGTGGCGGCGTGGTGGGCCGGGTCATTGGGCTCCCTAAAATATGGTCGAGCGCAATGATGGCTGGCTCCATCCATCATACTTGTGAACGGGTGCTGCTTGTAGAGACTGGTCTGCTCTAATTACTATGACTGATTTCTCTTATTAATTGTTTAATCAGTTGGTTGTATATTTAATATTTTTTCTATTTGAGTATTTAATTGAATTAGTGCTAATTGGTGGTTTGTATTCACACACTTAAACTTAAAAATGTAAAGTAAGATTATAATTATTTACAAGAGCAACACGCAAGTTTCTTGCTAGTTCTTATTGTGATGAGACAGCTTTCCGAACGAGCGGTAGATTAAAAAAAATGTGATGACTATTCAAAGGTGCTTCAATGTAAGTTTATTTATATAAATGATTTTCTATTCTAATAAAATAAAAGAAAGCGATGTAATCATTAGTATTATTGAAGTATTATAGGTACTTATTATATCTAATAGATCGTAGCTGTTCTAGCGAAACTACTAAAAGTTTGCAAACGTCAAAGTTAGCGTTTGTCGACAGGCACCTACTTTTGGGAATAAAACTTTTTCACGCAAACTTATCCAAATTCCAATAGAGGGGATGAGTTAACGCAAGGTCAGAGTGTTATGGAATCGGAAGGAGTTTCTAACTGCACGTATTGTATTTGAAATAGTTAATTGTTTGTAGATTGTAGGATGATCGTAGTCACACATTATAATTATAGGAGATTATTTACAGTACAGTATACTATATACAGTACATAGTAAAGTATTATAATATTTACTAATGTTATAAATGCGAAAGTAACTCTGTCTGTCTGTCGCTTTCGCGCCGAAACTACTGAACCGACCTTGAACCTAAACCCTGAGAAAAAACATAGGCTAATTTTTAATTTTGAAAGCTAATAGAAATCTTATTTTTTAGGCTTTCTTTTTATACCACTTAGGTGGCAAACAAGCATACGGTCCATCTGATGGTAAATGGTTACCGTAGCCTATGGACGCCTGAAACACCAGGGGTGTCACATGCGCGTTGCCGACCCTTAAGAAACCTTAATATACCCTTCTTGAAAACCCCCATGCAGTAGTCTCTCGAGAAAACCTCGGTAGGTAGTTCATTCCACAATTTAAGTCTTAGGCTATTGGCAGTGTACCTATATTCTTAATTTATTTCTCTATTCAGGCTCAAAAATCATTAAATTGTCAATACTCCATCTAAGCTTACGTAAAGGTCATAGACAATAGAATCAAAGACGCAACTTGATTCCAGTTGCTATAAAAACATGAAACTACAGATTTGTGTTAATATACAAATGTGAATTACATGTTTTAATTAAAGTCGATAGATTAGCCTTCTGTGTATCTGTATTTACCTACAGCGACCACATTGTACAGTCGACGATATAAATTTATTATATTTTTATAAATACAATAAATTGTCAAAGTCAAAAATTCAAATTTGTTGAAGGTTTATTTTATACGTGTATAGGTAAAATGAAAAGTATAGAAAAAGTCTAGGTATGAGAAGATATATATTGGAAAACCGGTTAACAAGGTAGAATTGATGTATATACAAGAATGTACAATATTTAAAACAACTATAAATTTAAAATAATATGAAATAAATATAAATTTAAATACTAATTTAGAATATGAACATACATTTTCCTTGTATATACTTCAATTTTGTCTTGTCAATAGTTTCCCAATATAAATCTCCTTATACCAAATCTTTTTATATAGTTTTCGTTTTACCTACACACATAAACTAAAACTGCAACAAATTCAAATTGCTGAAAACAAACTTCTGTTACAAATTTTGTGTATTTATATAAATACAATAAATTCTAATTCTAATTGCTATCATATATCTGAAAGCAAACTTCTGGCAACTGTAAGGCAGCGAATTAACGATTTGTTTTCGAATATTTTGTTAAATTTACTTCTTGCTACTGTTAGTTACACTAGCGTTAGCTACTCATTACTAACTGTGCCAGGCTCTGTTGGCTTGACTGGATGAGATCTCTTTTATAAATAAGTTTGCTAATTATTTGTCTCGACGTGCTAAAAGTGAAATTAAAAATATATAAAAATAAAGAATAGTGATATTAATGCATATGACTGTACATACACACACGATCTCATGCCGCATCAAAGGAGAGCCTCTCTATATTCTGAATCGGGGGGAATTTATTGAAGGGTCGAAATGGGATTTTGCGGTCTTGCTATTGCCATATATGTATATACGTATAGATGTTTTTGCTGTGTTCATTAATTTTGCATTTAATTTGAGCGTTTTATATTTAATGCATCCAACATTTTGTATTCACAAGTTAACCGTATGCTGTTTGAATATGAAATATTGAATGCTTAATGACTTTTACTGTGGATTAGTTTCAATGACAGCTTAATTAAAGTGTCTAGCTATTATGTTAAGCCCGTCAAATTGCATTGTTATTGTATTGATCACGTATTTATTGAAATTATTTTTAAACGAAAGGAACAAAACAAATGTATTCTCGACTAACCTTACTAATATTATAAACGCGGAAGTTTGTGATTAGATAGACGGATGTTTTTTTTAATGAAACTTAGAAATGATATAGTTTATACATCACAATAACACATACCCAATTTTAACGGTGAAATTAGGGTAAGGAGATAAACCTCTTTTATTCATCGAATTTATTGAGCACGCGTATCGCAGAAACGTTGTGACATCACAGTGATGCTTTTCGGTTGATTGGTTGTTATTTACTAGCAGTCACTAAGTGGTAATTGAAGTTGTACCTCTCATGCATTGCCATTATGAAAGATTAACTGTGCCCGAAGTTTTACTAGCGTTAAATTTCAATATAAAATATAGCCCATGTGTTATTCCGATGCATAAGTTATATTACTGTAAAGTTTCATCAAATTCCGTTTTGTAGTTTTTGCGTGGAAGAGTAACAAACATCTATACTTATTTTCGCGTTTATATAATAATATAATATATATATTAAGACTACCTGTACTCGCGACTTCATCTGCGTGGAATTTAACTTTGTTTTTCTAAAATAAAAGTAGCCTAAGCTACTCCTTATTACATCAGCTACCTGGCAAAAAAGGTCCCGTCAAAATTGGTCCAGCCATTTCATAGATTAGCCGGAACTAACAGCAGACAGATAGACAAAAATTCTAAAAAATGTTATTTTGGTGTATGTTCCGTATTTATATCCACATGTATGTAGTAAAAAACGGTGATTTCAATATTACAAACAGACACTCCAATTTTATTTATATGTATAAATGACATGTTTCAGTACCTCTGCATTATTATTATTATTTGTATTATTTAGCCACAGGGGCAAGAATTGACAGTCTTTTAAAATCTTCTCAACTACTATACTTACTCTTTGACATCCCATAAATCAGATGAAACTCTTTTAAGAACCTTTACTCCATCACAAATAAACATTCGATTCAACGTTATTCGGTACAACTTTCCAATAAATATATGTACGCTACAGTTAGATGCAGTGAATTCACGCGAGCGTATACCAACTGGCCCGTTAGGTACATCCCAAATCGTAACGAAAACATAACGGTTCATTACACACGGCGCCGAAGGCTCTGTGCAAACATTCTACATTTTATCTCACACGCCACCCATATACAGACGTAAGGAAAAAAGCTGAAATCACGCAATGTTGCTACAGTTAATTTTTCTCAATTTTCTCGCTACGATTGGAGCCGTTCGACACAAAAGGTATCTAGTGTACCCGGACGGAGGGCCGGCCCGTGCTCAGGTATGTATTTGCAAATTTAAACAACCTAGCTGATTTAACTTAAGTAAATGATGTTTTCTTTGCACTCTGGATCAGGCTTAACGAAGCCGTGTTTTTGTTCGAGAATTTAAATGCAATTATGTCGGACGACTGCCGTTGCTGCAGATTTTTTATTTATTCTGTAGTGGGAGTTAAAAGTCGCGATAAGTGTGAATGTTGACCTAGTTGCATAAAGATACTGTATATCTTATCCCATTCGGTGTCGAGACCCTTGGTACGTGGGGTCCTAGCTATAAGGCTTTTTAAGGAAATAGCAAAAAGGTTAGCCGATATCACAGAAGACCAAAGATCTGGCAGCTACCTCGGACAAAGAATTAGTCTAGCTATTCAAAGGGGGAACGCTGCCAGTATCTTCGGAACCTAGCCTAAAGGGACTCCTTTTAATATTATAATTTAGTTATTACATTATATTTTTAAGGTTTTTACTTTTAGGTTCATTGTTTCAATAATTTAGTTGTAACTTTATATTTTTACGTTTATTTTTCTATACTATGTATATAAACCAACATACTATCATTACGATTGTTATCCGAATGGGGTAGACAGAGATTAATTGTGAATTATCGACATCATGCTTGACATGCCCTTTTTCTTCTTCTTTCGTTTCAACGGCACCTAAATATAGACATGCTATTGATATTTTGCTAGTAATATCAAAATTCTACGTGGTAAGGCTACTGGCTGAATGCTATCTCTCGGATTTGGTTTGAGACCTGTGTTTCTTTTGTCGTAGTTACGGTCAGAAATATAAATTGACACAGTTTTATGTGCGTCCGCCATATTTGATCTCACGACCTCTTGGACGTTATTCAGAGTAGTAAACAACTAGGTCATGACTAATTATATTATTTTTATAAAGTAGAGCTTAGTAAAGCATACATCCTCTGTTGAGAATGTGTATCCTTAGTAACTTGACAGATAGAGGTTGACCTGCATCATTATATCAATGTACATACAATTTTAAGTTCCAAAAATACTATCTTAAAATACAATATTAATAACCCAGGACAATTCACGCGGCGCCATCTCGTCCCAAGCTAAGTAGCGGTTGTGTTATAGGTATTAGATAGCTGATAGAATACTTAAGTTTTTTTGTTGTAAATACATACACAATATACATTTAAATATTAAAAACATCGAGTCGAAAACAAACAATCACATTCACAAGTACAAATATTTGTACTATGCGAGGAATCAAACCCGCGACCACCGAAAATATAGCAGTGTGATTAACTGGTTAACCACCGAGGCAGTCACTTTCTTCTTTCAAGATATCGGTTAAAATCAACAAAATTTCAAACATTGAAAATACCTGACAGAAATTTAAATATTACCCCGCCCAATGCCTTATTGCAGGCGTTATTTGTATTTCGTTCGAGTAGAATTCCTCGTCTTGTTCTTTGTTCTTTGTTTTCCAGAATGCTAAAGTAGATTTACAGTCCAATTAAAGGATTCCTTTTTTGGAGTGGAACAAACTGAGTAGGTACTATTAAAGTAGAATGGACTTTTACAATTAAACAGCCTACTTGTGTAAACTTTGTACATAAAATACCTTTGAATGATATACAACGAGTAACTCCACTTATAATGAGGTATTAAAAGTTAAGGCATAAATTGAAGAGTTTATTTTGTACAGTAATTCTCCCGTAAACGTTACGTGCGGTTTTATCCGCTTGAATTGGGACAAAAAGAATCTTGAAATAGGAGAAATGGGGCTTATTTGTTATAAAAAATAGTGGGACCACGTGGTCGTACAATTGTTGTTAATTTCTGATGAATTAATAATGCGCCAATTAAAATTACCTCATGTGGGGGAAAGAGACTAATGACTCCATTATTAGCTATGTACCATGTCGGGTTTAACTTAATTTTCTATTTAAAGAAGTTTTTATAATTATTTATGTAATATGAAAATTAATAGGTGCACCTAAAGTAATTAATTCTACAATAATTTACTTTCAGTTCATTATTGGTCTTGGTATACCGGTAGATTTGAAAGAAGCATCTGTAACTGTAGGCACAGTTATTAAATTTCAATACGATTTGCCAACAAATAGTTCAGACTACACGAGTAGAATATACGGATTTGCAAATACCGTATCTAGAGATATGTATGGTGTAACAACAGATGAAGAATCAAATGATCTTGGTGATGTGGCTAAACTGAGCGATACAGAAAATGTGATTGATGACGGTAAAGAAAGAGAAAAAAATACATTAGTTGAATTAACTTTTAATGAGGATAGACGAAAAAGATCATTAGTTTATGCTGAAGGCGGTGCTATAAATATTAACACGGCAGATGAAACTACCGAACTGTCACTAGAAGAAGCTATTAGGCGGCAAGAAATTATTGACAAGAATAATATAGAAGATGAAGAGCCGCAGAGAATGAATAGATGGGACTTTTACAAAATCATTGAGCATATGGCTGAAAGGTAAACTATATTCTAATCACAATTTTATAAATAGCATAGTGATCTTCTGGGAATATTAAATTTATATGTATCATCTGGAATTGTAATTATATCTATGATAATGTATTAACGTAAATAAGTAGAAACCATTGCTCATACACAACTCTTGTCCAAAATAAGATTTAGAAATTAGGAAGAGAGGGATGGAAGGGAGTTGAATAGAAAGATAGAGGGGGAAAGATAATTAAGTGTGAATCTTAAAATTTGCAAACGACTACAGTCTCTTAGGGTTATAATTTATTCTACATCAACACACAGCGCCATCTAGATCCAAGTTAAGCTAGCTAAATAGCTTATGTTATGGGTACTAGATAACTGATACAAATACATAAATATATTTTTTTCCTTAATTCCAAAAATACGTAGAAATAAATAATTGTATAATATACATAGAAAATACCCATACCGATACAAACAATCATACTCATGAATACAAATATTTGTACCGTGAGAGGAATGGAATCCGCGACCATCAGCAATAAGGCGGTGTGCTAAACCACTAGACCACCGAGGCAGTGAAATCTTCTCAAGTAAGACATTTCTACAAATAAATGTTTTGAATGTTTTACATTAACATTACTGCGTTCGAGATATCTTTGTGTGATCATCATAAATATCTTACTGAAAATGTTTTCAGATATGGTTACTCAGGCCGGCCGTGCTTGCTGCGAACAATCTGCGAGGCAGCGAAGATTCCTTTCACTCGCGAAAATGGCTTGCTCGCAGAAATTGGCCATATATTATTCACGTAAGTAAATCACAAGCTTAATCAGGTATGGTAAATATGTACACGGAATGTGAAATTTTTATAATGAATTCGTAGCCTTATCTCGCCTTTTGTTGTAATATTGACTTAACCTCTGTATAGAATACCTCCTCGAATTTCCAACGGGTTTGTATTTTTTAATTTATTATTCATTCAAGGAAAAACTTTTATTCCTTTAATTTACATTTTGTATAAAAGAAAAAGTTTCAGCTTGCTTTTCATCAGACATTCCCAACATTCGTACCAATATGGCCCCGGTGGTCAAGCAGTTTAGCATAGCGCTTTATTTCCGATGGTTGCGGGTTCGATTCCTTGGACGACACAAACATTTGAATTTCTCATGAATTCATCAATGTATGTGGTTATTAGTATTGATATTTTATCAGTTGTCTAGTACCCATAACGCAAACTCTGCTAGCTTGGAACTAGATGGTGCTGTGTAAATTGTCTAGATATATTATGGTTATTACTTATATGAAAGTCTATGTATGTGACTACTTTTTACGATTAAACGGCTTAATAAATATTAATGAAATTGGACGTAACGTATACGGATAACGTAATGAGTACTCTTATTACACATTTTGTAGAAAGTTCTTTTCAAAAAATAAGGTTACAGATTTGATTTTTAATCGTGTTAATTAAAGTTATTAGAAATCATTAACACATATAACAAAGTCGTTTGTGTAACCTGTCTCACATACTTGATAAAGCTCCTTGCTTTGTAAGATATGTTTCTGTTAAACGGTTTAATAAGGCTGTGAAATTACAGGTACGTGGACAGTAAGCTTAGTGTTGACTGTTAGTTGTAGTTTGATCGTCTAACAGTCAACACTATAAACACTTTCAAACCAACAGGATTTTTCTACTTTGTCACCCAAAGTTATTCGGGAAGAAATTGCTTGGTGATAAACCGCCTTTTGTATCACTTAATGTATATTTTCTATTTTATTTTTTATATTTGGTTCAATAAAGTGTATAAATAAAAATTCATTAAAGATCTTTATGAGCTAAAAATAATGTTTATATTGGATATCTCATAGGGTATACTACAATCGTATTTATAGAAACATAATTTCTTCCAGTTGACGGCCTCGGTCTAACGGTACAGTACACCACTTTAGTTCCGATGGTCGCGGGTTCGATTTCTCGCACGATGCAAACATTTGTATTCATGAGAATGATTCTTTGTACCCGTCTGGGTGTATTCTATGTATATTATGCATGTATTTACAAAAAAATCTAAGTATTTAAATCAGTTATTTAGTCCCCATAACACAAGCTCTGCTTGCACTGCTCCATGGGACTAGATAGCGCTGTGTTAATTATCCAAGGTTATTTATTATATATTTATTTCTTCCAGCCCATCAACCACCAAAGATACCCTATCTCATCATACAGATAATGAGTATCATGCAGCAGAACGGTTCGGAAGAGAACTCGGTGTAAATTGTGAAGATTTGTTCCCCGAATGTGAGGATTCCATATTGGAAACGTTTACGGAGATTGGAGAAGAAACTATGCATAAATTTGGACTGTTCTAATTAAAGATATTACATCACTTGTTTTCTTTCTCATATACGTTGACCGAATCAAAACCAATTGTCTGTCTGTGTAGATTTATTACATGAACTTCTGTTAAGTCAAAGTTGCCATCTGTTCGAAGTACAATTTGCCAGAAATATTTACAAGAATTTTCGCTCCAGATCTTGAGGATTATGATAAACAATATCTACTGTCGGTTCGGGATCGAAAAAATCGGGTATCGCAGTTTAAAAATAAGAGTATACATTTATAATACAATAATAGTGACCCATATATAATTTTGTCCCCCTGAAATCGATATCCCGTCCAATTCAAACGGGGATGGAAATTACGACTGCCTGATAAGACGTTGGAACCCCTAGAGGTGCTCTCTGACTAAAATCGTATCCGTCAAGCAGGAGTTGGCCTTCAGACGTTCCATAAGTCCTTCCACGGGTTTGGAGTGCCATCTGCACTCGCTCCTGATCATTCAGTGAAGCTGTAAAGGCTAGCTGCCTCTAAGAGCATTAGGATGGTTAGAAAAATACATAATTTTAAGATTAATACAGTAACCACCAGCTGTTATAATATTAATATAAAAAAACCATCAGCAGCTATAAACTGAGTAGAATATATAGTATCCACAAGCAACATTCGTTCAAAGACAAAATAACTTATCAAAAAATTCTCTGCAAGGATACCTTTGTTTCACTTATTTTAGCCGGAAAGCAACTTGCTTCGTTTTGGTAGTATTTTGTTCGTTTAGATTAGGCAGTGAAATTACAGGATGAGAGGTATGACATCTTTGTCCTTGAAATGGCAACGCATGAGTGTTATCATAGATGTCACATGATATCCGTAATTTTGTTTATTTTTTTATTTATTTCAGGCTACTAGGCCCATATTATAAATACCTTATAAACTATCATACATATAATATTTTAAGAAAGGTGTTACACATGAAAGTGGATGGTTATAAGGGCAGAGGAAGGCCGAAAAAGAGATGGAAGGACTGTGTGAAAGATGATATGGTAAGAAAGGAAGTAAATAACGCGATGACTGCGAACAGGGATGAAAGGAAGCGAAAAACATATTACGCCGACCACAAATAAATGGGATAAGGAAGAAGCAGATGATGATGATAAACTAACATACATATGAAATAATATAAAATTAAGATATAGAAATTGTTTGTGTGATCACGGTACTGACGGCGGTAATCTACCGCAGTTTGTTTATGTATGTAGAATGCCGATATCACATGATGTGGTGATTGAACCCTCACCTATGTATATGAACATTACAGACAGTGTTGTTCATGTATATTAATGACGGTCACCATCAGGTAGACCGTCAGCTTGTTTGCCGTTCCAGTTACATAAAAAAATATTTACATCAGATTTACTTTGTATCCGTAAAATTTTGACATTACAAAAGTTTTGATTTAGGCTTTACAAAAGTTAGTAAACAAATATTTACCTGATATTTTATCAAGTAAATGTTCATGCTATTTATTGTAATGCCTACCTATATCTTACCTCATTTATACCAAAGGTACGGAATTAAACAATAAAAATTTTCAATACAGTAGAATGAAAAACATTGTTTCATAATTAGATATTTTTCTATACTTTACAGAAACTTCAACTTGTATGCTGTTGTATGCAGTATATTACTGTATATTTTTACATCTAGACAGTAGTTAATAAGTAATATCTTTTATCTAACTACAATGGCAATCCACCTGACCTAACACAATCTGATGATGAGTGGATGTGGGTACTAAGTCAATATCTGTTATATATAAAAAAGCTTATTTTAATCCATCCCCGCCCCGATTTCCCTTTGCCACTGTTATTTTAGAACTTATCAATATTTTAAAAAATAAAATAAACCAAGTTACGAAGTAATAATTTTTTACAGAAGCATCTTAAGGGACATGAAGACGTAGAAGTCGATCTGGAATGGTACATTGCTCAGGCAACGGGGGCCTGATAAGTTTTAGTAATGGGGACAAGAGAGTCCATTACTAGCAATGTACCATGCCAGATCGTGTTCTACGTGTAAACCCACTATGGTTAGTTCCCAGTGATTTCGCTACCATCTTCATGTTCATCCTTTACTTCTCTACTAGTGTCCCGCCAGCATATAACTTTAGCAATGGCAGATGCACATTATCATTATAAAAAAATGTAGTAATGAGTTTTATTATACCTACCAATTAAACGTGGCGATGGTACATGCACCAAATATCGTTATCGAAAAATGAATTTTCTAATATTAGTTAGGTATATTTTAAACTTAATACAAATTTACATACAAAATATAGAATCTTTCATCTTTATAATAAATGTTTAGTCAGTCTTTATAGTAAATATGAACAAAAAGCTGTTTCACTTGTTCTATTAAAATTGTTTAAACTTTCTATAATGATAATAATTATTCATACACAGTCTTCTACCACAGAGAACATATCAGAAAGAGATATAGTACAGTTGTTATACGTATCCATGCAATTTTGATTATTTTGTCCAAGTTCATAAGCTTCAACATACGGATGCACTTCATGGCTATACTTTGGAGCGAGTTCTAGATCATTCTTGGGGCTGAAATATGAAATAAATATGCAGTAAATAATAAGTGGGTAATATTTCGTCTAACTACACTTTACCACCGAAACTTTACCCGTGGAAATTCCGCACATTCGCACTGAGCTGTATGAATCGTGTGTGTTCCCGGAGAAATACAATCCCGGATTCTTCAAGTCTATGATGAATAGATATCTTCTGGGTAAGCGCGTTACATCCTAGGTCTTGCCATCATTTACCATCAGATGTGGTAAGACCAAGCGCAATCCCATTAATAATAATAAAAAAAAACCTAATTAACTGCTTATAGAAGCAGTATTAAACTACTCTTACTTAAATACCATGCAACGGATTTTCATACGGGTTTCTATATTTCGTATAATACATGCATATAGTTTGATATCTCTCACATTGACTTGCATTGCAAAGTCAATAGAGTTAATTACAATCATCATCATCATCATCATCGCAGCCCGGAAGACGTCCACTGCTGGACATAGGCCTCCCCCAAAGATCTCCACGATGATCGGTCCTGCGCTGCTCGTATCCAATGCCTTCCAGCGATCTTGACCAGATTGTCGGTTAATTATAATATGAGGCTCAAAACATTATAAGTAGGTATACCTACTACCATTATAAGTAGGTTGAAGAAGAAATAAGATATCTTAGTTAAATTGTAGGGTACGGGGTTAACTTAGTCATTAATAAGTATTATTTAGTAAGTTATCCTTTTACCCCGTTACATATTATATCGTTATGGTTGCAGATATATAAAAGGTACTACGGGCATTCCAACATTACTCCTCTCCTATCGATCCCCGTTCAATTTCTATCATTTCAGATTGAAATTACGGCGGCGCTGATCCGAGGTTCGAGCTCCTAGCGGTGCTCTCAGAATAAAGTCGTATCCGTCAGACAGTAGTTGGCCTTTAGCCGCTACATAAGCGCTTTCGCGGGGTAAGAGTGATATTTGAACTCGCCACCTATTGTTCGGTAAAGCTGTAAAGGTCAGCTGCGGCCAACTGTATTGGTATAGTTCGAAAAAAAAACAACATTGCTGTTGCTCTTTTAAATTAACCATGATTACTACTTTATTAAAATTTTCAAATAGTGCTCTATCCTTAGATGACAGTACAATCTATCTTATATATAAAATTCTCGTGTCACAATGTTAGTTACCATACTCCTCCCAAACGGCTTGATCGATTTTTATGACATTTTTTATGCATATTCAGTAGGTCTGAGAATCGGATACGATCTATTTTTCATACCCCTAACGACATAATATTTTATATTTTTCGACATAATATTTTATATTCATTTTATTATTATTTAAGATTGAAAAATACATACAACCCATCCATCATTTCCCAATTTACATCCATCTAGCATCAACCCCTATTATTTAATAGCGATTTTAATTTATATAGCAACGGTTACGTCGACTATCAGCTAGTCTATGTATCAAATTTAATTTGAATCAGATCAGTACTTATTATTTAAAATAGCAACAAACCTCTCTCGTCACAAATATTTTCATTTAAAATATAGGTAAGTAAGATGTGTATATGCGTAATACTATTTTACTCTAAAATGTTTAGCTTTAGTAGTTATTTCGTTGCCAGGGTAAGGTACATTACAAATACTATTAATTACAATTTCATATACTTACTTTAGTATAAAATTTGCTATTTCATGAAGTAAATCATCTTCACTCGGTGAATGCAACGGATCAGCACCAAGCTGACACAATGTGCGCAGAACACACGATGTACCGTTGTGGCCAAAACTAGAAAATAAAAAAATATAAATTGATAACAAAAAAAAATAACAAATAAAAAAATCTTAGAGCTCAACGATAGAATTCCGAACTAGCAAGCGAATATTGACTTATATTTTTATTTAAATATAGATACCTCTACATTAATTTCAGTAGCATGGAAGTATATTTTGTGTAAAGTCATACACGTCTCTTCGATCATACTCGCAAATGGGTGCTACTGGGGGGAAGGGGTGGACTGATGACTCATTGCTGCCAATGTACCATGTCAGGTTGACTTCCACGCGGTTCCCCCTGGTAACCGTCTTGACAAATCCTGGTGAATTTATTATGATGGGCTAACTGACCTGACTTCAAGTTCTTCTTATCATTCTCCAATGGTACCGCGCCTGCGTAAACCGTTAGTGCAGGTGGGTGCAACATTCCATTATCATACAAGAAAAAAAAATGGGTGCTACTTGTACCGTAGACCAGTCATCAAAAGCAGCACGTTACCAGTTCAAGTTATATCTACTGATTTTTTTTTAATGAAAATTTATTACCTTGATCTGAGTATTCAGCCTAAAACCAACTTGTTATTATTCTACATTATTGTGGGACTGAGATTTGTGTCAGTTTTTTGACTCGAACTACCTTAAGAACTGATAGTAGAAATCATAAGTATCTGTAGTTAGACCCAAGAAAGAACCATCGCTCCTAAGAATATCCTTCAATTCTTGTCCCTGACGGGTCTAGGTAGCGAACTTTGAAAAAGGGCGAGCACGATAGATCTATGTAGGTCGCAGTGCTACAGGTGCTACAAACATCCAACAATAGCCCAAACAACCCAATAAAAAAAAATAAAAAAATAGACCCAAGTGAATAAAGATACATTTGAGTTGCATGGGTACCTCCTTTCCTACTCACCTCTTTTTGCCGCCATGAACATGGTTAAAAAGTTGTATAAGTTTGACGGCTGTGATTAAGGTTAAAATTACATAATACGGAAGCAAAAATGTAGTTCCATAGAATATCAACGCATGAGATATCATGGGCAACACACATATAGATAGATAAACCTTTTATTTGCAGAAAAGGATACACACAAACTATAGTACTATAAAAAAAGAGATACAAAGTAAAAAAACACAACTTTTTAGGTCAGGTTTCAATATAGGTACAAGCACAGATAAGATAATATTACATGTACATATGTGTGTACATAGTACACGCTAAGAAGCAGCATCTCGGTGTATTATTTACTAGCGTAATGTAGCACTAATGCAACTAATTTTCAAATATGACCCAGGTACATATGCGAGGACGTATGCAACAAGACCGCTTGACTAACTTAACCGTTGTGCTACTCTTGCATATAAGACAGCTGCCACGTACCATAAGGAGATCGTTCACTTTATTTGTCACTACAATTAGGTACATAATAATAATAACCCAAGATAATTTACACAGCATCATCCAGTCGTAAGCTAAGCAGAGCTGGTGTAATGGATACTGAACAACTGATACAAATACTTTACTACTAGCTGTGGTTTCACGGCGGTTTTACCAGCACATATATATAAGCATAAATTTCAATAAAAAATATAACCTATATATTCCGATGCATAAGTTATATTACTGTAAAGTTTCATCAAAACCCATTCACTAGTTTTTGCGTGAAAGAGTAACAAACATCCATACTTACAAACTTTTGCGTTAATATTATTAAGATTGAAATATATATACATAATATACATAGAAAACAACCAGACCAATGCAAACAATTATACTCATGGATACAATATTTTTGTACCGTACAATAGTCGAAATCAAATCCGCCACCATTGGTACTCCCAATGGTGGTGTAAATCGCTAGACCACCGAGGATATCACAAAACATAAATAATCCGTGTAACTTGTTTTATAATTATTTAATTATCTGTTGGTCCAGACTTTTACTATGTAATATTATATTATCTGTGCTTTTACCTATTTTCGCTGACATAAGTATGTTGTACGCGAAAAACATTTACGTTTTTCTTTCAGTAGTCAGAAGGACACAATATGTTTATGTCCATAATAAAAGAAAGTATTGATGAGTTTTAAAAAATATCAGTATAATTGCAGAGAATATAAATGAACATTATTATTATTCACACATGTATTATACATATAAACAATCCTCTTGAATCACTCAATCTATTAAAAAAAACCTCTTCAAAATCCGTTGCGTTGTTTTAAAGATTTAAGCATATATTAGGACAGACAGCGACAGGGACTTTGTTTTATACTATGTTACAATGTTTATTATTTCACTTTACACTTTTATCTAATTACGCTAACGTATGTTATATGGGAAAAATATTTTCTTTCGATAGTCATAAAGAAATATAATATATTTTTGTCCATAATCTCTGTGGTTATTCTGTTATTTTCAAAATCCATCTATACGCTTCTCAATCGAACTTTGACATTGCGTATTTGCATGCCCAAAAAGAGAACGTGTTGTTTGTAACAAAACCCATTATTATTCCCTTCAATAAACAGCAATAAATTATACTATGACATTTGGAAAATAGGAATTGACAAAAGCAATTTATGCGTAAATTGCTTCCGAGGAATAATAATTGTCATGGTGTGATAAATCACGCGGGACTCGTCGTTTTCCATCTGAATTTTATTAGCTGATTGGTACATGGACAATGATATTTGATGGGAACGTTAAAATTTCGGCGAGCTATAATACATATATTAGTAGAGAATAGAAAATCCAATTAAACGTAATTTAAGTACTTTTGAATAGTCATATTATTTTTTTTAACCTACCGCTCATTCGGAAAACTGTCTCATCACAAAAAGAACTAGCAAGAAACTCGTGTGTTGCTGTTTTAAATAATCCTTGTATTTTTCAAGTCGAAACGTGTGAATACAAACCATCAAATAGCACTAATTTATTAGGATCAAATATAAATACACAATAAGATTAAATCAGTCGTAGTGATAAGAGCAGCACAGTCCCTACAAGCAGCACTAATTCACGTGTATGACGTATGAGCCAGCCATCACTGCGCTCGACCATATTTTACAGAGCCCAGTGACCCAATGAATAATATTCGACTTACAAAAATTCGAAGATAATAAGGCGGTGAAATTTAATCAGTAATACTGAAATATAAAAATAATATATTATAAATATATATACCTACCGATATATATACTCATAAAAATAATTAATTACATAAATAAGCAAAATATGTAAGTATGGATTATCATATTGTAATACCAGCCTATCTTTTTATTATACCTGCAGTGGTTGAGTTGAATACACTATTAATCCAAATTAAAACATTTAAAGAAATATTCTATTGAGATTTTAAATGCGTGTATGTAAAATAGAAAATGCGGGAAACAGTTTCGCCGACATTTTTGGTCGAAAAAAATGTCGGCAGAAACAGTCGGTGTAGCAGCATATGGCGCGGCCGGGCGGTCTCCGTCGAAATTTTAGGCGGGAAATTGCACTTTTCGTTATCTCAGCTCTTTTAAAATACATGACACTAATAATAATTATTATTTTTATTTGTATTTGCAATTAATAAAACATAGCTATTGTGAGTAAATCACGAATAGCTACATAAATTATGGTTTATATTTTTTCATTTGTGAAAGGAGAGATTAGTCTTATTTGTTCTTTAATCGTGTACGTTTTACTTAATTTTAAATCTTAAAAAATAATTCTTTTATACGACTGTAGATAGATATAGTTCTTATATGTTAAGAGCTGTTTTTAATAATTTCCATGTGATGATCCATTTTTAATGATATTAATTTAGTTTTGTTACACTTCTCTAAGTAATATGAGCTGTTTTCTTTGAAGAAACAAAAATTAAATAGTATTCTTTTTTTTGATGGTAAATGGTTACCGTAGCATATGGGCGCCTGAAACACCAGGGGTGTCATGTGTGCATTGCGGAATTGTTTCATTAGTTAAGCATATAACGTGTTATATAATTTCTGCATTGAATTAGTAAAAGTCTGTTTTACTTACTTGTTTAAAAAATCTTCAACATATTTATAAAAATGATAAAGTCTTGCGTCGCTTTCATAATTGCTGTGATTCTCCTTTAAATCTAACGTATCATCTATGCTCTTTTTCTTCCTGGTGTCCCCGTGGTAACCGCTGTTAGCTTCCAACAGGTCGATAGGTATCTGAGATCGATTCCAGGGTAATTGAAAGTTAGCTTGAAACGCGTAGTTTATAGTGATCAACTTCATTGGCGTTGGTGTTCCTATGCCTACGTTGAACTGGAATAAAAAATATAAATCAATTAAATATACTGAAATTACTGATATTAGGTAGTCAAGTAGTCAGAATCACCTTTAACGTAACACTTCCCATTTTTTCAAGTATATTTAAATGTTTTTAATAGTTATTAAGTTTTTTTGTCTATCTTCTTAGTATGTAAGGTAATGATTGTTAATTGTAGGTATACCCCAAAAATTTGTATAATCTACAAGTTTTGTTATATATACAATTGCTGTAAATATTGTGACATACATATTTTTTAATAATAAAATTATAATAAGAGAGCATCTATGATACTTTCAATTAGAAAAGAATCATCCGATAAATTTGTAATAGGTACTGCAGATATATGGCCTAAAAAAATAAAATTAAACAATCAAATTTAGCAATACCTTGGACTTGAAATGAATTGAACATTCTTCCTATACGAAAGTTACATACATATAAATGACTACCACATCTATACAGAGTCAAATCGGAACCTAATTATTTTGACACGAACAAAGTGCAACTGCAAAACGAATTATCAAAAACAGTGTAGATTTTGTGAAAATATTACTTTAAAATAGTGAAATTGTAATATTTTAGTTTCGAAAGTCGATTTAAAATATATTAATTCTCAGTATGAAGATACTCGTATTCTCAATTAATAGCAATAAAGCAAATTACCTGTAACACTGAAGAGTTTGGAAATAAGAGTTGTCTGCGTGTCCTATGCGACGTGTCATCGATTGATATATCTGTTCTGCTCACACATATTAGGGTCTGAAAGAGAAGGCTTGTCAATACTAATACGTTTTTGCCAGAAAACATGATGCCTTATAGAAGCTTAAGCCACAAATGAGCTGTAAATGTATTAGAATGAATGGCACGCAGCCGTATTACGTGTCATGTAGCGATTACTAATATTCTCATGGAAATTGTATATCAATAACAATGATTGCCATAATTTCAGAGCTTTTTTATGGATTTTCTTAAGTCAATTAGGATTAAAATTGGTTTATCTTAATATATGATTAGATTTTTTTGTGTAATCACAATAACATACCAGCAACGGCCAGGTGGTCAGCGGTAACCGTCGCTTATACACTTGAATATCACGTTATCATGTGATACCCGTGATGTTATCATGCGTTGTCACTTCAAAAGACTATATTATTATGCTTTATGTAATTTAATTTTAAGTATCATTGTAATGAAAGTCTGATCTATCCTTCGTAAGTTATGTAATTCATTCAACCAATTATTGCATTATTTTCTCTTATATATCAATAAAGAGAATTTCCTTCGTAAGTAATATCATTCATGCAGTATTTTTTACATTTTTCTTTTATATACGTATATAGAGAATTATTCTCAAAGGTGTTAAGTTTTGATTAATATGTCGGTGAAGAAGTCATCTTTACTACCCTTAATTGCCAATTTCGTCCAATTAACTAATTCAATTCAATCTATATTATATATAGTAGAAGATTCAGATTTTTTTTCCAAATTTGAAAAGTCATGTATTAATACATGAACCAAATAAGCCATCGTTATTGCTATCGTAAAAGGAATAGTCTCCATTACAATATGTAATAGTAGACACCTTACTGTTGTTGACTACCACTAACATTGTGTCTGTTTGTGTATACATAAATCATTGGAAAACCTGTTAGTGCACTACTAAGTGGAGTCATGTGAGTGGAGATTTAGGAGATAAGTGCGTGCTCATATTAGTCTCAATGCTCAAACTGACCACAGTACGGACAAATTAATTATTTTATATATATACATGGTGCGATTAAAGTTATTCTAAACATGTGAGTTTTGTTACAATATGTAATATTTATGCTTATGTTATATAAAAAGTAAAATACGTTTTTTAGTTTATTATAACATTTAATATTAAAGATGAACAAAATTAATCCGGTTAGGATTAATTTTGTTCATAATCAGAGTTATTGTTCAAATTGAGTGTAAATAGTTATTCTGTTATACGTCCCCGGGAGCGAGGGGGTCACTATGATAATTTACCCCAAGTTAAAAATTAAAAGTTTAAAAAGTTACAAATAATGTTACATAAGAGAGCATTCATCATATTTCATCACTTATTATCATATATCATAATCAGAAAAGATTAAATGTATGATACAATACAATAATGTATTTAAAACTACTGAAAATATTCACACCATATTTTATGCAATTTTTTAATAATAATTTATTATATTTGTGTTTTAAAGTCATATTTCTTATGAAATATTTTTAGTGGAGTTTACAAAGCAAATTGAAAGTTATGAGATATTGGCGTATTCAGGCTTCTATACACTAAACGGATTGTCGATCCATTAAACCAATGGAAGCTAGATGGATTTAGAAGCACTTTTATGTTCACTTTAATCCTTTGACTTGGGTTAGTGACGTTACTGTATTTTTTAGGACATTCGAATATCGAAAATTCAATTGTGATGGTGAACAGTATGTTCTATGTATATTGTTTAAACCTGATCGAGGATTTGAGGGATGGTTGATAGATATTTATTATATTTATGAAATAAAAATGCAATGCAATGCAATAAAATTTTAATGAACAGAGACATGAACGCATAATGTCTCTGTTAATTTCAATTTTATTCTTTTTTCAACTTTCTTTTTTTATTAATGTTTTGCAGACATGGCAACGCACATGTTTGTAGGTTGCCAGTTACATTTACTTTTTATATAGAAATTATACATATATCTACAACTAGGCTTAGATCTACAGATTAGAAAGCAGATCTATAGTTTCTAGTTTATAATAATAATCTTCATCATCATCATCTCAGCCCGGAAGATGTCCACTGCTGGACATAGGCCTCCCACAAATGTTCTCCGCGACGATCGGTCCTACGTTGCTCGCATCCAATGCCTTCCAGCGATCTTAACTAGTATAATAATAATAGTATTTTTATTATACTACTCAAGAGTTAGTTAGTTAGTTATTAGTTATTATATACTATTATTATTTTTAGGACATTCGGATGTCTAAAATTTAATTGCGATGGTGAACAGTGCGCTTTGTATAGACCAGCATCCAGCAGACCTAGAATTATCATTGAAATAATTTATTACATCATTTGTTTATATTCGTATTAAATCGTTTATTTTAGTTACAATTTGGGATTTAGAATGTACAATGGAAATATAATTTTATTTTCTAAATTTCAAACGGGAAAAGTAGAAAAAATAATTGATAAAATACAACGTTTCATATACCATATTTCACTAAAACCGACTGCCAATTGTTTGTGAACGTGTGCTTACCAAAAATTGTCAAGTAAAAATGATATTGTTATTATACCATTTACTTTTAATTCACAATAGGATATATTAATAGATGTAAAATATAATTATAGTAAGTCTAACTTAATTTTACATATAACCCCAATTTGTCAAAAAATGGTCTCCGATTTGGTCCTCTACCAAATCGGAGGTTTGGTTAGGTTCAGTAAACATGAGTGTAATACATATTTTTGAAAAATAATAAATCTATAACACGGATTCTGTATAAATTACTTTCAGGGACCGTAATAATTCATGTTATACTTACATTTTTAGAAATTCAAAATCCCCTAAATTACATAATTATGAAATTTTTTACTTCTAAGGAAATCTTCTGAAAATTTAATTTGAACATCATTACATAGTATAACATAAAGTCGCTGTCGCTGTCTATCCTTATGTATACTTAAATCTTTAAAACTACGCTACGGATTTAGAAGCGGTTTTTTTAATAGATTGAGTGATTCAAATTAAAAACTATTCAGATTTATTGTGTTAACATTTTCGACCATTTATATGCACAATCATCACCAACACCGATCACCATCACGTGTGCTGTAGGTATAGCTTTAAAAGAGAGGCCATGTAATTTTAACATAATAAGCAAACTTACAAAATAAAAAAACACATATTTCTATTTTTTATATATACAAAGATCATCACCATCACCGTTCACCATCACGTGTGCTATAGGCATAGCTTTAAAAGAGAGGCCATGTAATTTTAACATAATAAGTCAACTTACATAATTAAAAAAAACTGAATTTAACATATTTTTATCTTTTATATATACATAGGTAAATCACCATCACCGTTAACCATCACGTGTGCTATAGGCATCGCTTTACAAGAGGCCATGTAATTATAACATAATAAGTAAACATACAAAATTAAAAAACTGAATTTAACATATATTTATCTTTTACATGTACAAAGGTAATCACCATCACCGTTAACCATCACGTGTGCTATAGGCATCGTTTTACAAGAGGCCATGTAATCATAACATAATAAGTCAACTTACAAAATAAAAAAAGAAACTGAGAATATAACATAGGTTAGAAGAAGAATTTAATTTTTTATATGTACAATGATAATCACCATCACCGTTCGTCATCACGTGTGCTGTAGGCATAGGTTTATTAGAGGTCATGTAAATAATGTTTCAGTAATCGTATTGGATGTTATCGCTCTCAGATCCGGTTTAGTCGACCACCATTGACGTAAACTAGCCTTATGTGGTTATTTATGTATTTATCTGTGAACTTAAAATTATTAACCCCTTTTTACTAAAATTAACGATCGAGTAGTATCATATTTGGCACATTTAAAGATTATATAGAGAATAATAATAGATCAGTAACTTTTTTTCTTAAAATATAAATATAATTAATGAAAAAAATATTACATACACATTACTTTATTATTTCTACGTGGTTTAGCGTATTGCCTTACTTCCGATGGTAGCGGGTCCGATTCCTCACACAGTCCAAACAATTGTATCCATGACATGTATGATGGTTTGTATTGGTCTGGGTGATTTCTATGTATATTATGTATCTAATTAGGTAATTATATCAGGTGTCTAGTACATATAACATTAGCTATTCTTAGATAGTCCCAAACTAGATGGCCCGTATGAAATGTCCTGGTATTATTGTAATCGTTATTATTTGTTGCAGGTATTCTTTGGTAGTTTTTCTGTGTTTTTTCTGTTTTCAAAATGTCTTACCCGGACATCTCAGTAGTTTGGAAGACGAATTAAGAACAAAAAGACAGTTAAACAGTTTACCTCTTGTATATCCATATGGAAGTACTTACAAGGTATGAAATTTATTTTATACTTGTAAATATATAGTCTCTACTTATGATACTATTGGTCCATCAACTCAAATCCGTCCAGGAAGCTATTGAAAGAGTTATTTTTAAAATACTTCTGAGTGATCAAATAGAAAGTAATTCACCAGAGTAATTGTCACCAGCATAGATCAGCGAATTTGCAAACTGAAGTAGCAATGCAGTAAGTCATATCTATCGTAGATGTGTTCTAGAGTGAAGACCGCGAACCGGCAAATGTAGTATGCATCTAAAGCGACGAGAAGAAGAATAGAATAGAATAGAATTGAAAATCATTTATTCAAATAAACTTAATTTAAGCACTTTTGAATCGTCATAATAATTTGTTTTTTGTCTACCACTCGTTCGGAAAACTGTCTCATCACAAGAAGAACGAGCAAGAAACTTGTGTGTTGCTCTTTTAAATAATCCTTATAAGTTTACATTTACAACTCAAAACGTGTGAATACAAACTACCAACCAGCACTAACTTTTTGGGTCAAATATCAAGAGTGGGTAAATATTTTTCCACGTGATAAAAAATTGGTGCAACAATGTAGGCAGGTAATGACTGGAAAAGAAGCATTGAAGATCATAGCCAAAAACGTTCCTTACTAGGTGGCTATGTCCAACAGTGAATTCAAGTGTTTATCTATTAAAAAATACACCCAGTTAATAACTGAAATGTTTTATTTTTACAAAATCTTAGTAAATATTTGTTTCGTAGTAATCTATTATTGTATCACATATTTGATTGTGTGTACAATATTTAGTTTCAAGTCATCATTGCCTTGCCTTTCTCCACCGTTATATCTGAGTTTACTCTTTATATGTATGATCTTTCATTGCATCCATCTTTTTTTTTGGTCGTCCTCTCCCTTTTCATCTATCCTGTCCCTTAAATAAACACTTGTACACAATGGGTGCTACAGACAGGCCTCTTTGTCGGGGCTGCTTTGTAGCTGAAGAAACGCTCACGTAATCCTAGAGTGTGTAGCAGTGGCTATATAAAAAACACAAATCCTCGGAATGGTGAGGTCTCTCCGTGAATCCTGTGATGATATCAGGAGACTTCTGCGCTGCTGAGAGGAGCTTGGTTGGCTACTTTAATAGTTTCGGCTCTACACGCAAAACGACCCGATGAGAGGTTAAAAGCAGAGAATATTTTCCATCTATCCATATTTATTTGAATATTTTCTTTAAGATATGGTCCTAATATTTAGTGTTAAGTATTTGTTAGGAAATCTATCTAAATATATATAACTCAAAGGTGACTGACGTAGTGATCTATCAACGCACAGTCCAAACCACTGGTCGGATCGGGCTGAAATTTGGCATGCACGTAGATATTATGACGTAGGCATCCGCTAAGAAAGAATTTTGGTTAATTCTACCTACAAGAAGATAAAATAGGGGTTGAAAGTTTGTCAATTTTAAACCGATCGGGCTGAGACTTTGCATGCATAAAGCTACTATGATGTAGGCATCCCCTAAGAAAGGATTTTGATAAATTCCATCCCTAAGGGGTTAAATTAACGCGGGTGAAGCCGCGGGCAAAAGTTACTATGCCTATAAGTATACTTACTAAGGTGATTATTTATTTTAATCATTTTGTACCCAGTTCATCGTAGGTTTTAGTCAGCCTGTACCCACGCCGGACTATATCAGCCTCTCGTTCGCCGCAAACTTCCAATACCAGTACGTCCAATTCCAAAACATCTCCGAGCTATCCCGGTACTACGTCATAGAAGATATATCCCGGGAGCAAAGGGCGGCCAATCTCGCGGTCAGGAAAGATGAAAGGTTGACGTTTTACAGAGCTATGTCCGACATGTTGGATACGTAAGTAGACTTATTTAAATTCCTTACTTCTTGTATGTTTCGTGCATAATAAACTTAACAGGACAATTTAATGAATTTGCTATATTTATACTTTCGAGACAACATATGGATGTCCTCTTCAGAGTACCTACATAAAGTGATTACAGTTCTTTTCTGTCGTCAGAGCCGCCTCAAAAAGAATACATTAAACTTCTGTACATAGTTATAACATTTAACTACCTAGGTGACCCGCTTCGTCTACATCACAGCTACTTGACATTTTTCATTACATTTCACTCTAATTTAAATAATAGCTTTTAAATTATAGCCTGTATGTATTATTCTGATGTATAATCTACATTACTGTAAAGTTTCATCAAAATCTATTCAATAGTTTTTGTAAAAGAGTAAAATAATCCATCCATCCATCTATCTATTAATACTTACAAGCATTCGCGTTTATAATTTTAGTAAGATTTATTAATGAAAATATAAATATAAATATAAATAAAAATATAAATATAAATATAAATATAAATATAAATATAAATATAAATATAAATATAAATATAAATATAAATATAAATATAAAAATAAATATACATATAAATATAAATATAAATATAAATATAAATATAAATATAAATATAAATATAAATATAAATATAAATATTAATATAAATATAAATATACTTGTTTTTTTTTAATTGCAGTAAAGGTTTCAATGGTCGTGAATGTATGCTGAGAGCAATCTGTGAAGCTGCTCAATATCCTGTAGAAGAAGAGGGTCTGATAGGAGAGATAATACATATTTTGCTAACGTAAGTTTTTAATGTTAGTGTTACTGCAAAAATGATAAACAACTATGTTTTTTGTTATGAGTGATAATGTGATAGTTTTTCGTCAATTGTTGTGACAGTAATAGTTTCAAAAATCGAATTGAGATGTATGATGACAATATTATACATATATGACAAATATATATTATGTATTATATATTACTGTCCCGGCAAACATTGTTTTACCATATACATTTAATATTTTTAATGGCACATTATAAATAATAAATATTCGGAAGTGGACAACCCTTACGAAATGTATGAAAAATGTATGTAAATGTATGAAGGTATGAAAATAGATAGTAGCCGATTCCCAGACCATGCAGTAGGTTTGGGAATACATATAAAATTTCATAAAAATCGGTCAAGTCGTTTCGGAAGAGTATGGTAATTAACATTGTGACACGAGAATTTTATATATAAGATTATTTGCATCAGTCGTTTAGTAGCCGGTGTTTTTGCGTACGCACATCCTTACATTTTAAATGCGAAAGTAACTCTCTCTGTCTGTCTGTCTCATTTTCACGCCAAAGCTACTGAACTGAATTAAATGAAATTTGGTACACATATAGTCTAGAACCTGAGAAAAGACATAGGCTACTTTTAATCCGAAAAAAGGGTTGTAAGGGGTTGAAAGGGGAGATGAAAGTTATATGAAAGTATCGACAATTTACGCGGACGAAGTCGTGTACATCTAGTAGCTGTATAATTAGATTTAAAAATAAAATTCAAATTTGGAACGTCACGCATGGAACATCGATGTTGTTCTGTTTTACTTTATATACATTTCTTCACTTCTTCTCGAACATTCCGTGACGTCACTATTATATTCAATGTACAGTACAAACCATTTTTTATTTCATTATTATAACAACTTAAACATTGCAATATTCCTCTAGCAAACAGCCGGTCAAAGTCTTTTTTATGTAATTAAAATTGCAAACAAGCTATTGGCTCATTGAAGCGGCAACTGTCGCCTATGTATATGTATATATATATATATATATATATATATATTTGACAATTCACACAGCGCCATCTAGATAAGCTAGCTAAAGCTTGTGTTATGGGTACTAGACAACTGATACATATACATAGATATTTTTTTTCTAAATACATACTTATCATACATAGGAAACACCCAGACCGATACAAATAATCATACTCATGAATACAAATTTTTGTGCCGTGCGAGGAATCGAACCCGCGACCATCGGTAGTAAGGCGGTGTGCTAAACCGCTAGACCACCGAGGCCGTCATCAGCAGCATATTAACAGCATTACGAGCATCACGTTATCATGAGACATCCGCGATAACACTCATGCGTTGTCATTCCAGAAGACTAAGAGCTCATGCACTTTATACAATAATTTCACACCCTACAACCAGAACACAAATTACAAAACAAACTGAAATTGGTGTTTAAGTTGATTTCTCCAAACTATATAATTTATCAGTTAACAGGTCTTTAGGTCAAGTTTTATTGTAATTTCTGAGGTAACGCGGTTTATAATTAAATATGCGAATTTTATTTAAAACACGACGGGCTCAGTGGTATATTGGTTTAGTTCCGATGGTCGCGGGTTCGAATCCTCGCACGGTACACACGTTTGTATTCATGAGTATGATTGCTTGTATCCGTCTGGGTGTCTTCTATGTATATTATGTAACTATTAAAAAAAAATCTAAGTATTTATATCCGTTGTCTAGTACCTATAAGACTCTGCTTACAGTGGGACTAGATGGCGCTGTGTTAATTGTCCAGAGTTATTTATTTATTTATTATTATTTAAGTATAAAATACCTTTACTGCAGTGTTAGGTAAGTGTAAAGAGTACAATAATAGTTGGTGCGCCTCGTTATTCGCACGTAAGTTGTTGTGAGGCAGTAACGCCCAGGGTTGCCAACAAAAAAAAATATTGTAGCCTCTAACAATAGAGGTCAAATATCTCGTAAATCGACACAATTTGGCTTAGAAACTTATAAGTCCATTTACTTCCCTTACTAAAGGGGGACATGTAAAAAAGCAGTCTAGCTTTATATAGCGTAAATCTATACATATATAATAAAATTGGAGTGTCTGTTTGTAATATTGAAATAACCGTTTTTTACTACATGCCTATGAATATGTAAATAAGGTACATACACCAAAATGACATTTTTTACAATTTTTGTCTGTGTCTGTTTGTTCTGACTAATCTCTAAAATAGCTGGACCAATTTTAAGGGGACTTTTATTGGCAGGTAACTGATGTAATAAGGAGTAACTTAGGCTACTTTTATTTTTAGCAAAATCTATAATTCACTTTTTTGTTAAATTTCACTCGGACGAAGTCGCGGGTACAGCTAGTAAAAATATAAGTTTATAATTATTAACAATAATATATATATCAGTAATATACAATAATATATATAATATCTCTGAACATATCACACAACGCTCTTTAAGATGATCACAAATTCGATTCCTTATACTGTATAAACATTTGTATTCAAGAGTATAATTGTTTGTCTAATCGGTCTGAAAGATTTCTATTTAATTATGTATAAATTATAAAAAAATATCTAAGTATTTATATCAGTCGTCTAGTATCCATAAAACAAGCTCTGATTAGTTTAGCGTCATGTGAATTGTTCAGGGATATTATTATATTAAATAAATAACCCTAGACAATTAACACAGCGCCATCTAGTCCCACTGTAAGCAGAACTTATGTTATGAATACTAGACAATTGATATAAACACTTACATATATATATTATTGTAAATATGTACATAATATACAAAGACAATACTCAGAGTCTGATTATTTGTATCGGAAACAATCATACTCATGAATACAAATATTTACACAATGCGAGAACTCGAATCCGCGACGATCGGTGGTAAAGGTGTACTAAACCGCTAGACTACTGGGGCTGTATTTAAGTTTTTCTATCAGTTGTTTAGTAGTCCCGTCATATAAGTTCTGCTTCTCTTGGCGTTATGTGAATTGTTCAAGGATATTATATTATTATATTATATGTCATACGGTTGGCAACCCTGGTAACGGGCGCATAATCGCTTGTATCTTACGATTAATGGCCACAACTGACCGAGCTATGTGCATTAGAGTACAGGTCGGACGGTTTGTTGTAATTCCAATGCAATAACATTCAGCGGAATATTTTCACTTCATTTTTCCTGTTTCCTTCCAAATTGGTGAATTGGTGAACTTACATACTTGATAATGTCGCATTAAAATTAGATACAGCTCTAAATTACCAACCCCTATTTTTTAATAGCGGTTTTAATTTATATTACGATAGATTTGACATATCATAAGAGCCTTTAATAGACCTACACGAATAAAGATATTTTGAATTTGAATTGAAATATAGCAAAACAACGTTTGCTAGCTTAGCTAGTATATATACATATATAATTAGATAGATATATAAATGCTTTTTTAAAATTACAAACATATAGCATACATAAGATACGTTTTATAAATAGAAATAAAGTTTACAAATTAAAAATGCAGGAATATAAATATTACAAATTAAAAACTGGTAGTGGATTTATGTATCGCAATGATGAAGAGGCAAGGCAAACTCAGCATGAAACTACAGATCATACAGATAAATCTGCAGCGCTGATATTCAACAGAATATCAGCGCGCATTAGTATGTATTTAATTATAGGAGCTAACAAGCTCCTATAATTAAATACATACTTACATACATATATACGTTACGACATACTTACATACATATATATACGTTATGTTATATAATTACAGGCCAGATTATGGAAAGTCGCCGTTTGATAGTGAAGATTTGGAATGGGAGGAGTCCATGGCAATCTACACGGATGCTGCGACAGCTGGCCGTCAAATGTTCAGCTGCCCAGCAGTTTACAGCGATTGTCCTGAAGGTCAAGGCGTGATGGAGCTAATATCTATACTTAGAGATGAATAAATAAGATGAATTACAAACATTTTGTATCTATATCTATGTATAAAAGTACATTATTTCAGAACGGGTATATACATTTTGGCTAATTGTTTCTTTTTTATAATTTTCTTTTTTCTAATTTATAATTATTAAGGGAATGTGTATATCAAATAAAAGATTTAAATTTTTTTTGTACTGGAAATAAAAAAAGGATGGAATTGTCTATATATTTTAAGAAAATAAATTACAGATTGGTGTTCAGTGAGTACACTTTTTTTTGGAGTACTCTAATGCTGTTGGCCGCAGCGGGCCTACACAGCTTCACCGAATGATAGGGTGTAGTATAGTGCAGATGACACCACAAAAGTGGAAGGACTTATGAAGCAGCTGAAGACCAACTCCCAACTGAGGGATACGACTTTAGTCCGAGAACACCGCTAGGAGTTCGAACCTCGGTCAGGCCATCATAATTTCGATCCCCGTTTGAATTGGAAAAATATTTTTTTTATAGTCTACACAAAGTCTGAAACGAGCATTCTCAGTAGAAAAAATAAAACTATGAGCCTCCTAAAAGAATTTCCTAGAGACTTATTACAATAAGAGCACAATACTCCAATGAACATCGTTTCGGTTCCTTACACGGTACAATAATTTGTAATCATAAGTACGATTGTTTGTATTAGTTAATATTATTATGTAATAGATAGATAGATAGATAAAATTTTTATTCACGTTAAAGGCACACACACACACACACACACAAGGCACTGTAATAATAAGAACAAAAATAAAAACAGATATACACATTACATTAGTGAAGTCAAACAAAATACAATACACAACAAATATACAGCTAAAATAAAATGCAATACAGATAACAAAAAAACGGTATGAGTAACGTAGTGTGTGTGCATAGCCCGTACGTAAGAAGGCAGCACCTCAGTGTATTGTTTGCAGCATACAAGCAGCAAACCACTGATATTCAGGCACTGCCCAGAGACTTACGCGAGGACGCATGTAACAAGACCACAGCTTGTAATCAACCCTATTATATTATCATAAATAGTAATATATTAAAATAAAAAAAACTATAATAATACAAGAAATAGGTATAATATATTATAATAATAATAATTAATAATATACATAGTGTTAATTATGTATATTATGTTGTGTTAAAAAAATGGATCTGAGTATTTTTATCAGTTGTCTAGTACCTATAACATAAGCTCTGCTTAGATTAGGACTAGATGACGTTGTGTGAATTGTCCAGGGATATTATTATTATATAAATATTTATTGTTATTTATTTATTTATTTACTCTTTAAAGAATATTACAAAGAACATAAATACATAATAAATAATAAGGCACAAAAGGCGATCTTATCGCGTAAGCAACCTCTTCCAGACAACCTTTGGTAGAAAATAGTAGATGACGCAAGAATGGTCTAGAGAAATAAAAAAGGCATACTAAAAACTAAATAATAATAATTTACATATATATGTATAATACATTTATTTTTATATATAAAATATTTTACATAAATTTTATCACTACTAAAGCACACGAAGTCGCTGGTTTCATCTTGAAAAATAAATATTAACACAACATTATTTTTATTATAGTACATTTTTATTATATATAAAAATGAATGTATTGTATATATATGTAAAACCAAACATTGTTAAATGCAATGTAAAGCAATATATCCAGTCAGAAGCCGTCGAAAGTGTCCCCACAATGGATGCTGTGTTTGTCGAGACGCCTCACGTTTTGAACGAATTAAGTAAATCTTATAAAGAGTGCAGGTCACGTGCTGGCGATCTTTCGCTTAGAATATTTACATTGGCTTAGAATGCAGTTACTATTGGTTCTCGATAATAGTATTTACAACAAAACAGTTTTAGTTATTAGAGATCATGGTCTTCTACGCCCTTTTAGGAGATTGTAAAAGTAACTCCCGGATCCAGGGTTGTCAGAGTATGTCAGCCTGTTCTCTTTTCTCCGGTAGTCTTCTCGTATTTTTTTTAGTATCAGTTGTCTCGTACCCATAGAATAAACTTTCTTTATTTTGAAATTAAACAACACTCTGAGCCACTGTGTGAACTTTTCTGGGTTCATTAATATAAGATGTTTTGTTAAAATGAAAGGGTTTTATTTGCTTATTAAATGAATAGTACGGTATTAGAGATTTTTTCCAAAAATAGTTTATTTAATAATTAACTAAAGATCTGGTTGTTTTCTATATTACATAATATATGTATGTATAGAAAATAAGACACAAGCTCTGCTTAGCTTGGGACTATATGGCGTTGTGTGAATTGCCCAGGGATGATATTATTATTATAAATACATACGTATATTGTATTACTAAAAAGCACACGAAGTCGCAGGTTTTAACTTGTGAAATGAATATTAACACAACTTTATTTTTATAGCTATAGACTAGACGGCGCTGTGTGAATAGACCTAGGTTATTATTATTATATTTCTAGACCGGAACCAGACTACAGATTGCAAAGCAAGTTGCTGGAAGTAGAAATAGGTCAGATAGAGGTACCCATGCGTACAACTTTGTGCTAAGCACAGCTTTGTTTGTTATTTGTTTTGTTGCATTTATTCACTTAGTACTAATTAGGACATTTTCAGTCTTGTGTACGTTAGGCATTAAATGTATAAACGAAACATCTCTTTTGGAAAGTATACATTGTATTCTGAGGAGATAAAAATCATCGCTCCTAAGAATATCCTTCAATTCTTGTTCCTCGTAGGTCTAGGTAGCGAACTTTGGTGTAAAATAAGGGTGAGCACAATAGATCTATACAGGTCGCAGTGTTAGAGGTCTTAGCACTAGCACCTGACAATAGCCCGAACAATTCAAAAGTAATTTATTCATGTAGGACATTTTATGAACGTTAAATTTTAAATTAGTAGTGTTACAGATAACATAATATTACATGTCGTGTCAAATCAGTATATATACCTATATAATATATGCGTACAAGGACATGATCAGTATCTCATTATATTTATATAGTATATAATATGTGCTCATGCCAATGGGCCAAGTGACCTGACCTCATGCGCATCTTAATATTTTCCACTGGAGCTCCATCAAGCTTATGCTGCAAGCATAGGTAGACACCAATTCCATTATAATCCATAAAAAATATTGGAATATGGATTATATCAAAACAATATAAATACCCCTAATTACAGGATTAATTTCTAAGAAAATCATTTTTTTACTTTCTTTGAAATCTTCATTTATAAATCCAGCCGATGACATTTAGGAAGTACAAAACGTTAAATAAAAGGGTACCTTTATTTTAACATATTGCGATATAAATCTCTCGTTTAACCACCTCACCTTAATCGAGAATCGATGGTAACTCCATATGAGGCCCAATGGGCAATCAGTTCAGGACGGGTCGATTTAGATGCTCTGGGAATTTATTGACTAGTCTGCCAGTAACTAACTGGATTTATTTTGTGCTTACACCGCGCTGATCCTTCATTACAGTACTGCGGCATGATGAGGATAGAAATATATATTTATGTTCAAGGCTAATCGCAGATGGGGTAGTCAGATGCATTATTTGACAGCCTGGGTCTAGCGATTTAGCACACTGCTTTACTTCCGATGGTCGCGGGTTTGATTCCTCGCACGGCACAATAATTTGTATTCATGAGATGATTGTTTGTATCGGTCTGGGTGTTTTCTATGTATAATATGTATATATTGACGAAAAAAATACATATCTACGTATTTGTATTAGTTATTTAGTACCCATAACACAAGCTTTAGCTAGATTATCTTAGGTCTAGATGGCGCTGTGTGAATTGTCCTGAGATTATTATTATTATTATCATCACCAATCAATGGTGGTGAATGCAACATAAATTTGGTTTATTAGTCTTGCTATAACAATTATCTGTGCTATATGACCTCAGTAAGTTTTCTGTATGCTTGTTTACCATCGTATATACCTGTATAAAAAAAAAGTTTTTGGTGACGGGCAACTCGATCTCACGAGGTAGACTTTAGTTCTATGTACATATGTATATACGTATATGTACATACGTATGTAGAGTTTATTGTGTATATATGTATATTTGTATATATACTAATAAATACAGTAAATATTTTTTCATATATATAACGTATACTTTTGACTTTGTTGTACTTTTAATATACCTACTCTTATCGATTACAATATCCTAAAGATTATCATTAAAAGTCATATGAAAATTTTACTTCTCTGGCACAAGATTATTAATTACATCTTGAGTACTTTCTTTTATCAGTACGTAATATTTTTAATCCGGATAATATTTATTTGTCGTATACAAATTTTGAATCAAAACTTTTCAAAATTTTGTTTTGGCTCGAAAATATTGCGGCCATAGTATAATTATATTTCTTTCAATGATATAGCTGAATAGGTTACATGCATTTGTTTATGGAATTATGAAATAAAAAATATTTATATACTTCATTATTAAAAAAGAAATTCCATTCAAATACGTGTGTTATAAATATATTTCATACCCGTAAAATAGAATAACGTAGGTATATCTTAAGGTTATTTTTGTGGATTTGAAGAAACACGATTTTTCAACGTAACGAGATTCATAGCTGGCAGTACAGAAAAATGTCAACAGACTACGTTCACTCAAAGACGAGCACAGATTAATCGGCACAGATTAACAAGCCCAACTGACTCGACAGAGCATCTGTTTAATAGGCAAAGAAAATTTTAATAATGTTTAAGAAAAAAGGTTTTATTATTTATAAACTGTCTTTGAAAGATTTTCAATATCTTCTTTATTTTATTGCGAAATCGTTTCAAAATTTTATAAATAATATATGAAATTCGAGTTAATTTAAGAGGCGATGAGATCTTGATTTACATGTCTGTATAAAGTGACACGTCTAGTAATGATAATGGACACAAGTTCATGGACATTGGACATTCTTCTTTTGTGACGTTATGCCATTTGTCTGTCGCTGAAGATTGTCGCCTGAAATAAAAAAAATATATTTAACTATACCTTTACTTTTTGTAGATATATACAGGTATAAATACATATATTAGCTGACCCGGCAAACTAAGATATAAGATAACGCATAAGTTATCGACCGCCGAGAGCAGAAAATAATTACTAATGATGGTATTTGTAAAGATGGGTTGTATGTAATTTTAATGACGTATTATAAGAATAAAATAACAAAATGTGTCCTATAAAAAAATCGGTAAACAACCCGGTTATCATTTAAGAGTACGAAAAATGGTTTACGTCTTATTTTCAGACCTGCTAAAAATACAAACTAAGTTTCATAACAATCGGTCAAGTCATTTTAGTAAAAAAATCTGTGAGTTGAAACAATTTTATATGTAAGTTCCCCCGGTTAGACAAGACAGTCTTTGTACAAAGTCTACCTATATTTAAATACCCTATTCGAAAAATAAAATTTACGTGAACTTTTATTTTCTCAGACCTGCTAAAAATATAGGGGGCAGTGCAGACTCCAAGTTTCATAAAAGCCAACTCGGTCAATCCATTTCACTAGTATAGCCACTGGCTGTCGGAGATCCCCGTTTAAATTGGACGGGGTAGAGAGACGTCTTTTTTTGTAAATAGAGAACTTCTTTGTCTAGAATTTTATGTACTAGCTATTTTATATGGTAGGCATCCTGTATTGCCATTTCGAAGGACTAAGATGTCTTGTTTCATATCCTGTAATTTCACTGTCTTATGTAATGCTTACCCTATATGGGAACATCAGATACAAAAATAATAAATGCATTTAATAATGTCTAGTAAGACAAATTCAATTTGTACAAAGTCTACCTATATTTAATATAGATCATTATTTCGTAATATTTATAAAATATACATAGAGGCAATAGTGAACTTTTATTTTTTCAAGACGAAAGCTGGGAAAACGACGAGATCAAGCAAGAGATCTCTAATGCTTCACCAAACGATTGCACTTTCCATAGGGGGTCGAGGTACGGAAATTCAAGAGCAGACACTGGCAAGTCCAAACTGACCGCCATATAATACTGGCCAAGGTTCAACTCATCACAACGTTAACAATGGCTCGTCCTATGCCATAAAAACAAACATGCCAACTCCCATGTCTGCCACTAGCTGATGGAATAACCGTCACGGTTACCTTTCTGGACAGTCTCGCCACGTTTGTGGTTTGCGACAATCATAAATATAATACAGAATATCCAAACTTGAGGTCGTCCACCAAGTCAGCGATGCCACTCCACCACCAGAGAATAAATGTCATTAAAGACAGATTGATCGACTGTTATGAGGAGAGCGAGCAAAGACGTTTAAAACTGCTCGCAGAAATGAACCTGGGAGATCAAAAACCGTCCCAGTTATTGAGGAAAATGAGAGAAGCTGGTTGCGGGAAAATTAATGAGGATACCATTTTATGGATAAATCAGTCACAACCGTTTTAGTCTAGCAATTGGAAAATTAAGGTGACGACTCATTTAATACTGATCAACAGGCACCGCTAACGTAAATACGGTCACACACCTGTTATCTTTAGAAGCCTGTGGAAAATCGAGTCATCCTGTATTGCCATTTCGAAGGACTAAGATGTCATGTTTCATATCCTGTAATTTTACTGTCTTATGTAATGCTTACCCTACATTGCAATTATTATAGAGCTATATTGAAAACAGGAATATCTAAAACAAGCTGATTTAGGTGAGACAGAGGTCACACTGTGTACAAAACCTCTGGTAAATAACAAATTATATAAATATATTCAAATATTTACATTTAATAGCTTACCTGAAGACCATTTTTAAAATTCTGTAGTAAACCCCACGCGGCTCGCCGATCAATCTCATTTCACAAATGGCCCGCCGGACGCAGTGGTACCCACTCATTCCGTTACTGAAATTGATTGATAATTTTGTGATATTTATATTTTTATAATTCCAAAATACTTTAGGTATCATTAATTTCGCTCTACCATATATATAATATTTATTAGCCGTTTCCCACAATTTTAACTGCCTTTATTGAGATATACGTTATCTACATTTTCATTAGTTTACGCACAGTTTTGCATTTATAATATTACTATTAACGAATAATATAATTCAAAAAACTAAATTACAATAGTACAGCTAAAAAAGCGTGAACTCACACAGCGCCATCAAGTCTCAAATTACTGTACTTTAGGTATTAAACAATTTATAAAGAAATACAAACAATGTTGGTTATAGATGTTTGTATATTGCGAGGATTGAATCCGCGTTAATACCTATAATGGTATATTGCTGAATCGCTGGACCACAGACTATTTAAAGCTATAGTACTATTAATTCGTTACTTGTCCAATAATGTTTCCAAGTTGCTGTAAACAGTTCTTCTGTGCAAATGGTGGTAAGGGTGGAAGGAGTCCGGAGGGTCATCCCAATTTATACGGAATCCTATTGCCTGTGCAAATATTTGATTCCACCATACCATATTGGCCTTGAAATTGAGACGCATCTGAAAAGGAATGATTTTTATATATATACCAGCAGACCAAGCTACGTGTTGTAGTGACCAGAACACGCGTTACAGTGACTAGGCTACGCGTCGTTGTGACCCGTTCACGATAGTGTGAACAGATCACCCGTAGCTGTGATCAGGCAACGCGTTACTGTGACCCGACCATGCGTTGCAGTGACTAGGTTACATGTCGCTGTGACCAGGTCACGCGTTTCTGTGACTAAGTTACACGTTACAGTGACCTGGTCAAGATTTATAGTGACCTAGTCACGCGTTGCAGTGACCAGACGACACGTTGCTTGTACCAGGTCATACGCTGCAGTGACCAGGTCACGCATTTCACTGATCAGGCCACGTGTTGCTGTCATCCACTCAAACGCTACAGTGACCCGCTTGCCTGCCATTAGATAAAAAGAAATGTAAGAGAATTAAAATATTTATACTTACAAAAAAATGTGTGATGTTTCTGAATGCTAAGTAACGTTTTGGTCTTGACACTTCATTTTTGTTTGCATCACTATATTCGAATAACAAAAACATTATTAAGCAAACGTAACAAATTATGACCACTTGATATAATATCTTCATATTAAAATATATTAAGTTATAAAACAAATCAATTAAGACAAGTTAATAAAAGATTATTTCTTCCATGATATTGATGTTTTATATATATGAGAAATCAAAACGTTAAAGAAATTATTAGCTTTTTAATTAATGTGCTGTTCTACAATAGAAGTTTTACATATATGGCCACAATACTAGTTTGATCCGAGTATGTACAAGTAATACAAAAATGAGATGAGTCTGTTCCATCAAAACTAGGTTTTGCTTACTGTATTCGTTAACGCCGTACATTTTTTGGTTTGTACGGCCTGTTTTTTTTGCACGGCACCGTTTCGGTTCGGATATGTAGTGATTTACAATAAGAGATATATCTACAGGTTGATATTTTTTATTAGTTTACAAAACAGATTACAATTAATACAATAATATAATTAGAAGCGTGTAATTCGGTACCAAGCTGGTTTGTAATCCGACACTATGTATGCCTAGAAGCTACATTATATAGACGCATTCAGTATACACTAGATAAGTATAATATAATCATATAGTAAAAAGTAAACTAAATAGAAATTAATATTAGATGTAACTACGTAATGCTATGAATCATTATGTTAACAGAAATTTATGTATAGTAGGTATATAAAAAAAAATAGGTACAATATTAAATATAATCGGACTGTTAACGATGGAAATTTAATTGTCTCCGGAACTGGACTAGTGTTGAATGGAAAATATCATGGAAACATTTCTATTTGAGGCAAGAATTTAATTTAATATTAATATTGAAGGTTATCCTTTTAGATGTTGATTTTGTATAGTATTATAATGTACCTATTTTCATTATCTATTTTACTAAACTAATTTTTATTCGTTTTCAACACATTAATGTTACAATGCATTTATTTGCATGAAATATGGTATAAATATTAAAAGAATGGCAGTATTAATAAAATTGTACACATATTTCGCCATTGCTTTGGCATGCAACATTTTATTAATTTACAAATTATACAATAGAATTAATTAATTTTCATTTACGATGATATAGATAGATTATTAGTATTGACTGGGAAAGGAATGTTTTATTTATAATCTAGCCCATTTCTTCTTTGTTAACTAATAATAAGTGTCTAGTACCTATGTATAGAGGTAGAAGTGAGTAACTCACACAACTGACTATTTTATATATACAAGTATAGTATATGTATAACTCTCCCGTTGTAACTGAAAAGTTGTAGAAAAATGGACTTTTAGTATTCTCCATCCTCTTAATAATTACTCCATTTCGGATATATTATCGGAAATATTGCTTTAACATTATATGTAAATAATGTATTAAGTAAATTTGATCTCTTACATCTTTTCTTTCAAAGATTTTTTACATCTTTATAACTTCAATTAGCTGATATAATAACCCAGTTATATCTACAGATGTGTAATTACAATTCAATAGAAAAAATCTATAGAATTTAACAGCCCGGTCTAATTTTACATCGACCTGTACAAATCTTATAACGGTTTCTAAGCTGCTATTTGTAAATCGTGATTAACGGTTTCCTGAGCTACGGTGAGGATATGCGATTCGTTATTGAAAAACTTCAACCAACGTGTATCATAGTCTATAATTTTTTAAAAGAAATGAAGTCATTCCATTTTTAAAATAATTTATAATCACGCGTTTAAAATGGCCAGACTGAATCGAAGGTCATTTTTCTGTTTATTTCTACTAATGTTTGAAATTAGAACAATAGATTTAGTTAATAATAGTGACGTCACACTTCATGATAACGGTGAATTATTATCTAGGAGGAAAAGATTTATTATATTCCCAGAAGGCAGTTCTCTCCAATTAGGTAAGATAAATCATTGCGTAACAAATTCCATAACCATGTACCTGATATATACTCATTTATCTTTAGTATATTTTATTGTAAAGTCCCATACCGATATATGACTTCATAGACATTATTTTTGCTACCGCATTAGATTGCACAAACATTCTTTTTATATAAGTTAAGCGATATTTTTTACAAAACTGAATGGATATTAATAGCTACAACACTTTAATTTTCAAATTTGTAAGTTATCCAGAGAGCATAAAGCGTTGTAGTGACATTTAACGTTCTCTAGTTCTAGCGATTTAGCATACCGTCTTTCTTTGGATGGTCGCAGATTCAAATTTAATTCAATTATATTAAATTAAATGTGCAGTGTAACAAAACAACATCTATATAGTAAAACAGCCTGTATATCCATTAGTCATTTTGATTAACATAAGCGCTGACTATACAGTAATATAAGTACTCTGAGAAGTGTGACATTTAAAAGTAGGTGCCAAACAGAAACAAAGTAATATTGATTCATCTCTAATACTTATTTTGTTTCTAGTTCTTGTTTTCACACTTCCTTTAAAGTCCCATGGGCTGCGATAAATAATATGTATAAATATTGAAATCTCTCCAGTATATATTAAACAATTTCATTATGAATATTGAATAGAATAGAATAGAATAGAAAATCCTTTATAGTCATCACAATTTTTTTATCTACCACTCATTCGCAAAACTGTATAATCACAAGAAGAATGAGCAAGAAACTTGCATGTTGCACTTTAACATGTCCTACACGAATAAATTATTTTTGCTTTGATTTGATTTGATCAATTGTTGATGTCAGGGTGAACGTGATACGTCACATGTCCATGTTTCCTTGGTAAATCCAATGTGAAGAGGGTGAGGGTGTCAGATTAATTTATGTTTAACTGTCCGGTGATGGAATCACGGACGGTTTTAATCATCGGACAAGTAGAATTTAAACTGTGATATCCATTACATGTTCATATGACATGTCCATGTTTCTTTTATAAATTCTACGTGAAGGGGGTGAGGCTGTCGGATTAATTTATGGTTAACTCTCCGGTGATGATAACACCGACAGTTTCCATCACTGGAGAGGTATGAAACATAATTTGATGCATAAAGACTTTTTGGTGTCACCCAGATTTAAACTGTGATACTTAACATGTCCACATTTCTTTGATAAATCCAACGCAACGCAATCACCAGAGAGTTAGTACGAAATATAATTAGCCGCAAAAAGATATTTCAATGTCGGCCAGATTTGAACTGACTACCTTTTCGGGGTAATAGTAAATCACAAGGCCACAACGCTCAAGACTATCGATTTACTTAACATAAATACATATATATGTATCTCCTAAAGGTGTCTTGATCTTAAGCAACTACAATAGAATTGCAAATGAACTGCACGTGTACGAACAACTGAATAGGTACAACTGTTAGATAAGATTCTGTACAAATGGAGCTACTCTGTGCCATGTTATCGATAAACAAGAAATACTTATTTACAGAGAAATAACATGTAAATAAGATTATTTACATGTAGTAGATACTTTAAATGAATTTCAATGTTATGTATTTAATATGAGTATTAAAACTGCTTATATTATATTTAAACTAGTTGTGCGCGCGGTTTCACTCGCATAATATTGATGTATAAGATACTCTAGTTCAGTAGTTTTTACGTGATATAGTAACAAACTTCCATGCACCTACCATGCTCACACAGTCTCGCATTTATAACATTAGCAAGCTTCTACATAAATAATGTGCATAGAAAACACCCAGACCAATACAAACAATCATACTCATGAATACAAATGTTTATACCGTGCGAGGAATCGAACTCGCGACCATCGTAAGTAAAGTGGTGTGCTAGACCGCTAGACCACCGAGGTCGTCAAAAATTATATAGATGATGAATTTGGTCATCCTCATCTTATTATCCTCCACTAGTGGATCTAGTCACTATACACACATCTCAATACACTCATTAGATAAACCCCTGTTTCATATTTGCTGGACAATATGACTTTATGGTGTATGGGATGTTTAAATTTACTGTAATAAATTTATCTTTCTTTCTTTCTGTTATTCATAATCTTGTACATAAGCTACAACAAAAACGTCATTACTGCCTTGCATTATCCCATTATTTGGGGTCGACGCATTATGTCATTCTCTTCTCTGATCTTCTGATCATATTTGAGCATACTCTCATTTTATTTATAATCTTTCAGATAATCCATTCATCATTTTTAGGCGTTCTTCCCTTTACATCCATCCACGTTCATATTATACACTTTCCTTAAGACATGATCCTCATACCTCCGCAAAACATGTCCACATCAGCTCAATTACATGTTGCTTCGATTTAAATTTATTACGTTTTTGTTGTAAGCTACAACAAAAACATAACAAGTTTCTAAGCAACATATAATTCTTTTACAATTTCGAAATATATATAACTGTATAAAGCATTTTTTTTTCTGGTTTATACATATAATCTTTGATTATGTATAATTATTTGATGTATACTATATTATTATGTATTCATATGTATGTATATATATGTAAATTTGTGTATGTACTATATTTTGTTTACATAAGTGTATATAATTTTTATGTTTCCACTCATGCGCCACCTACTCTATTTTTTTTTTGTAAATACTCTCTTTCCAAAGGATGTCTGTAAGAGATTGCATTAGCGATAAGACCGCCTTTTGTACTTAGTTTTTATTTTTTTTTATGTTTTGTAATTTTGTTCATGTCGTTTATATGTTGGTGCTATAAAGTGTTATAATAATAATAATAATAATAATAATAAAGCATGTTAGTTATTTATTCATATATTTTTCTGTCGTTTCAGTATTTTGCCTCACGTTTCCTAATATAAATGTAATAGGAGATATAGTTCTGTGGGGCTACACAGCAGCGCTGGCATATGAACTACCACAGGATCCGTACTCTCCTTTCATGCATCACGCCGACCCCTTGCATCGAAGGGTTGATACCAAGTCCATTTACTATACGAATGAAGAGGGAAGGGTCATATATAAAAGACCTTACAAAAGGTAAGTAGGTAAAAGTAGGTATATTTTTAAGATCATAGTTCATGGATCTTAAAAAAAAATTTGTTACTTTAATTATAGTATTTATTTTAGCTCTTCTATATAGCCAAAGAAAAACTCGATAGCTGAAAGCTCATCTGCTGAATGCTGGAACTAATCAATGGATAAAATTGCTATGCACATAAATTTTACTAATTCTCATTATTATAAACGAAATTATTTTAAAACTGAATTAGTTTCTACATGTCACAAAAGTGTTGGATTTTTCGACATCGTTTACCTAGAGCACAGATCAGAATTAAAATAAAAGTAACAGTTTATAGACCTTTCTATGGTTAATTATTTATACTTTCCATTTAGTCCAATGTCCAAATGATTAACTATTAAAAAAAGGTATATAACAAGTATCTATGCAGCATAAAATAATACTGGCATGTTACACTTTACAGGAAGTTCATAGTGAATCCAGCATTTGCAAAGCGAAGCATAGAATTTGGCGGTATAAAAGCGCGCCAATTCGAAAAAGGAATTCGAGAAAATTTTAAAATAGACAGAAAACAGATGCATGCTTTGAAAAACAAACGCGACTTTTTGAAAAGCGAACACATGGAAGGAAAGAGCGTTGAGTTTCACAGGAGCAGTCGCGGCACTTTATATAAAAAAATAGAGACTATGTTACAAGGGTGTGTGTATTTTTAAGAGTACCCATTTATTTACATTATACGCCAAATATACCATTAACAATAGTCTACTTAAAGACGTTGATATAAAGGTTCAATTTTAATTAATGCAAACAAAATTGTATTGATATTACAAGTCTTATGTTGAATTTCGTTAGTTGTTAAATACAAGAACAATACCTAAACTAATAGCAACCAGTTCAAATAGGAAAATAAATCTTATAATTTTATACAAAAAGTTATAAAATTATAAGATTTATTTTCCTAAGTTCTAATTCTAAGGAGATCGCATACATAAATAACTATTAGAAATTGCGTAGATTTAAGAAATGTTACACAGGTAAAACGTAGTTCATCGAATAACGATAAAATGAATCGATTTATGGAAATAGAAAATAGAAATAGAAATACAATATTATCTGATTACACTAATAATGAGTGCGTAGCAATTTCTATGTTGATTATCGCATGCCTCTTACTTTTTATACTGTAATTATTTATATAAAAAAACATCTATTCAAAAGAGCAACATATAAGTTTCTTGCTCATTCTTCTTGTGATGAATCTACATTCCGAATGAGTGGTTCTATGTAAACTATTCAAAAGTGCTTGTAATGAGTTTATTTGAATAAAGATTCTATTTCTAAAGATAAAATCGATCGATTTATACACTTTCCTAATATAAATATCAAAACGTATAATCATTTAGTTATATCTTAGATTAATTTTAGTAGCAGTGTCCTAGTCGATTTTTCACGCACAATAGGGCTAAATGCGGAGAATAGAGTCCATATTATATTGCTAGTCGATTCATCTGTAATTTATAAAAATGTAATAAATAATAAAATCATGTATTTATTATTATTAACTATTATTGTAAACGCGGAAGTTTGTGAGTGTGGATGGATTTACGCAAACACTACTGTATGGACTTTAATGAAACTTTGCCATAATATAACTTATACCTACATCACAATAACACATACAATAAATTTCACGCGGATGAAACACAGCTATATATGTTATAAATGTAAATATATATAAAGATCCTTAATTTTAGGAAAGTATCAATAAGATTAGTACTATGACTTTTTGAGAAATAACTTGGCAGATAGAAAGAAAACGCAGAAGATTATACTATTAAACAATATAAACTTCAAAATATTTTCACAATATGAATTGTAACAAAAGTACAATATTACGCTCATTTATTTTTCTTAAATTTTCTTATATCTTATTGTTACTAATTTTAAATTGTATATTCCAATTAATCAACAATTGATGTTACGGTTCTAATTATATAAAAAGGAGTAAACACTATTCGTGTTTCTCTTTTAAGTTTTAATTGTTTATTAATTAATTTGTAGACTTGGCGGAAACGGCAGAGAGTGCATGTTGAAAACACTGTGTTTAGTTGGTCAGAGCCAACATCACCCGCAGGGCTCTTTCTTGCAAGAGATTCTGAGAGCTGTGTTTACGTAAGAGTTTGAATTTATACTTCTATTTGTTTTGAATTTCGAAATTCGATTTCGGTTATGGAACACGTGTAGATAGTAATTTGAAATCTTGTTATTGTTTTTAAATGTCTTAAGTCGCCAATGACATAAATTTTCGATACTTATTAATATTTCTACTATGGTACTACCCTTTTCAACAGCCAACTATATGTTAACTTTGAATTTCGAATTTCGATTTCCTTTTATAGAACATGCATAGATAATAATTTGAAATCTTTTTCTTTTAATAAATAAAGCCCCCAATGACATGCATTTTCGATAACTTTATTTGAGCTTGATTTTCGTTTATGGGTCATGTGATGTTATTTTTAATAGTTAAAGTTGCCAGTAATATTCTAGTCAGTTCTAGCATAGAGTAATATTTTTTTTATCAACAAACAGATTGCCTAAATCACCCATTCAAGATGAGGAATATGAAGAATACGATGCAGCATTAACTTCTACGGAACCATGCGAGAAACTGTACCCTGAATGCCCAGAAGACCCTAAAGAAGCTGCCATAAAAACTGTTAAATATAATTATTAAATTAAAGATCTTACTGTCTTGTGTATTAGACACCAAATATCTTAATAATATGTTTTAACTATTGAACTTACCAAGGTACTTTTACCTATCAGTATGGGAGAGTACCTTTGTCTTACCTATTTCAGTCGAATAACGCAAGATTGCAAGATGTTACTCCATTGCATGGTAATGCAGTGCAATTACAGGATGAGAGGAATGACTTCTTAGTCCTTCAAAATGGACATTCACACAGGCGTCACGTAATGTCATAGCATAATTGGAATTGCCATTCATCATGAGCCTTGTTTGCCATTACAAATACACAAAGCGTATGTATTAGTACTGTATATTATATTTATAGATTATTTTTACTCAGATATCATACTTTCGTTACTTTCATTTTGCCATGTGATAATGTAATTAAAATTTTTTTTGCTACTAATGTATATAAAAATATAGTATGGCTGTATTTGATTCAACTTGCTTTGTTTATTTAAGTATATGTTTGTAATTTGGAAGTATAATAAATAATTAACAAAGATACATTTTAGGTAAGTAAATAGTTAAAGATAATTTTATAAAAATTACAAACTCATTATAAAATTGTTTTTTTTTTAATCAACGATATCAAATTTCCAAGGTAAGTGTATCTTGGTTTAGGTACGTATAAATCTGATATTTGTTATTATACTATATATTATATAGTATACTATATATATAATATATAAGATTAATCTAATTGAAATTGGTTTTGGTGAAACATTTGTACCTTGTATGTATAATATACATAAATAATACCTAAAAATAAATATCTGTCAGAAATATATGACTGTTGTGACAATCGAAATTAAAGAATTTCGATTGTCACTGTTGCCTGATTGGGTATGTGAAATTATAAGTATGGGTTAAAACTGGTTTGAACTGGTTTGATTTGCTTTCTGTTCATCTTGGAGTACTATTCTGTATTCTATTGTTTCTTCTTCAGTCGTTCACTCTTAGCAGAGTGGTCGTGGCTTTCATGATGTTATATTTTGTGATATGGCATCGTTGTGATCCTTGGCGAAAGAGCTCCTGCAATTTGCCTCCACTTGGTACGGTTTTTGGCTGCACGAGAACATTGTACCATGGACTGCTGTGTAACCGATCTTATACTGTCAATCCATCTCGTTGGTGATCGACCCCGAGAACGTCTGCCCTCAACCGAACTTTGGATAATTAGCCGCTTCATACAGTGTTCGTTCCGGCTAATGTGACCAAAATACTTGAGAATTCGTATTTGCACAGTCGACGATAATTCTATTGCACATTATGTTTTTACATATAAATTTATTGTAATGAAATTTATCTATAATACAAAACTATGTAGGTACAGTATTAAAATTTGAATAAAGAATGACATATAATCCATACAGTGTAATAAAAGAGTTGATGAAACCAAATTTTATTCTGCTGAAAGTCCTGATAATTTATGAAATACCTTACAAAAATATATATGTAATATTTTTCTTTTTTTTTTGTTTTCCAAGTACAAATTCGGAGCACGAATATAACTGTAAATACATTGACACGGAGCATGTTAATTGATGTTTCATTTATACACATTCACGTGCCCAGAACGGGATGAGGTTGGGGCAGTACGTTTCACGTTTTCCACCAGTCAACTATGTGTTAATTTTGAATTTCGAAATTCGATTTTCATTTATGAAACACGTGTAGCTAGTAAATTGAATTATACTTTTTTTTTAATATACAAAGTTGCCAGTGATATAAAATATTTGAATTAATTTGTGTTGATTCTTTCGTTCGAAATTCAAATGCAATGAAAATGCAGTTGACTGTTGAATTTCTTATATTACTATTATTGTTTGAAATAGTGGTTAGTGAAGCAACCTGTCTTAATGGTAATTGTACAATAAATTCCGAAGAAAGTGAGACAAAAGTGCTTTCAAGACGAAAGAGGTATTTGATATTTCCAGATGGCAGTTCATTCCAATTGGGTAAGTAAATAATATCATTAACGGGCATTACTCCGTTTAAAGCATTGTAGAGTAATTAAGACATCTATTCGTGGACTCTCGAGCGAGGAATGAACACAAATTATTTATTCGTAGTTTAAATTTAACGAATTACACTCTTTGAATACTATATTTTGTTAAACGTGTTATGTTTTTTTTAACTTTATTCAATTAATAAACAACGAATAAGATTGCATTATTTTTTTACCACAGACTAATCTTTTGTCTGTGGTAAAAAAAATAATGCATTTGCACTAAACTGAATCTTAATCTTAATAATAACATGTTTAATATTCCAGTGACATGTTTATTTTAATTTAATCATTGACTAATATAATGACATAAATATAATAATATATAAAAATTTGGACTCCTGTATGCAGGCTGAATACACTGGACATAATATTTAATATTGTAAACATCTATAAGCACTGTATTCTGCAAATAAATGATTTGATTTGATTAAGTTTAAGACGACTTAGGCTAACATAGTGTTTAGGAGTAAAATAGATTTTGGTATATTGGTGACCTCTGCAATCTAGCGGTTTAGTTCCTCGCTTTAATTTCTGTTGGTAATGGGTTCATCAATATATATTTGTTTTTTTTTGTATGTTGTAACTGTTTTTATTGATGAACTCGTATTTATTGGAAGATGAAGTTTAGTCCTCAATTTTTTTTGTGAAATATCTAACAGATTGACTGTTGATGGTAAATGGTAACCGTCGCCTAAATATGAACAGTACTACGGATATCACATTATCACGATATCATTTACGCATGGTCATTTTAGAGGATTAATAATAATAATAGACGTGTACAATTTACACAGCGCCATCTAGTCCCAAGATAAGGAGATAACGTCTTATGGGTATTAGACAACTGATGTAAATATATAGATACATGTTTTAAATGCATACAATCATAATATACATAGTACATACCCAGATCAATACAAACAAGTATACTCATAAATACAAATGTTTGTACAATGCGAGGAATCGAACCTAGGACCATAGATAGTAATGCGGTGTGCTAAACCGCTAGACCACTGAGGCCGTCAAAGTCGAAGTTATTGAATGAGATAATGATACTGTAATATTTATATTTTCAGTTCTCTGCGTACAAACATCAGCAATAATACCTATAGGTGATATATTTTTATATGGCAACACAGCGGCATTAGCCTGGTCTCTGCCCACAGACCCACAATTTATATATATGTTGAAGAAATTCGACAAAGAAGCATTACGGAGAGGAGATGTGGCTAATAGCGTAAATTATCTAGATGAGAATGGACATGTTGTTGGGAAGGTGCCGTATAAGAGGTAAGAAACTATTTTAGTACCCTCCATACTCTGGTTTGTTATCCTTACTAATGTTATAAATGCGAAAGTGACTGTCTGTCTGTCTCGCTGTCACGCCGAAGCTAGTAAACCGATTTAAATTAAATCTGGTACACAGATAGCCTAGACTCTGAGAAAGGACGTAAACATATACTTTTTAATGGCTAAATAGGGTTGTAAGTGAGATGAAAGTTTGTATGAGAGTATTGTCATTTTTAAAGGAAAGCCTAAAACTTATTTTTTATTAATTAGACATAAATAAATATGACATTCAAAGTTTGTAAAAATGTTAGGAGGGTAAAATAAAATAGGGGATGAAAATTTGTATGTAAATTCATCATATTTGAAGCCAGAATGATAAAGCTTTATTCAATAACTTTTTTGATTTTAGACTTATTGAATATTTTTCTTTATTAGACCAAGGTTACTATAACATGCGAAGTCGCGGGCACAACTAGTTTAATATAATCCTGTATCTACCCGATGCCGCCACTTCGTATCTGAACGGCGAGGTATTCAGAATAACAATAAATAAATAAATACATAACTCTTGATAATTATCACAGCGCCATCTTCAAGTGAAATCATTCGTTCGTATATAACTCAGAGTTGTCATTGCGAAAATTGTTCCAGAAAACAAACAATAAACCCGACTTTCGCTACGCAAATTTAATTAGTTTATTATTTTAATTCAATATAATTACATTTCATTTAATACCAGATGAACATAAATAGAGTAAAAACAATATATGAAATAGATTTAATAACGCATAATTGCATTTGCAAATTACTCGTTCGTATATAACTCAGAGTTGTGATTGCGAAAATTGTTCCAGATAACAAATAATAAACCGGGCATTTGCTAAACTAATTTAATTAGTTTATTATTTAAATTCAATATAATTATATTTTATTTAATACGAAATGAAAATAAATATAATAAACACAATATATCAAATAGATTTAAAATCGCACAATTGCATTTGCAAATTACTCGTTCGTATATAACTCAGAGTTGTGATTGCGAAAATTGTTCCAGAAAACAAATAATATACCCGGCGTTCGCTAAGCGCAGCGTCGACGAACAAATTACATACAAGGAAAAACTGAAAATCAAAATAGACCGGATGAGAATGCACGGAAAAGAATTCGGCAGAGATTATTTGAAAAAGAACCATTTGGACGCAAACACCGTCGACTTCCACAGGAACAGTCGGGTGGAATTGTATGAGAAATTAGAAGCTCTATTTACGGCGTAAGTAGAGAGCATTTGAATCGGAAAGCGTTCCAATAATGCACGTTTAAAGGTGGATTTAGACTAGAAGGACAAACAGTATAAAAATAGAAACCGATGTACTTTTTTATAGCATAATGGGCGAACCAGTTTCAGTACATCTTAATACAAAGGATTACCGGATTACCGCCGCCCATGAGCATTCGCAACACCAAGGGAATTACAAGTGCATTCCCGGTCGTTTAAGGCGTGAATAGGAGTAGAAATTAGGAAAAGGATAGGAAAGGTATTCTCTCTCCTTGAACCTTCTCTTAAAGTCCTTATTACCATTACTAAGGGTCGTAATTGCCCCGTAGAATCACTTTTCCTTGGATAATATTTCTCCGTCTATGTCTTTGGCATCAAGGATAACATAGTGTTTAATGTTATCCAGAGATATGTGGTATCTGTTTTGAATCTCTTGTTAGTGCTCTTATATGGCCATTTACCATATTTTAGTACACTGGTAATCGATATGGGAATTGCTAGTAGCCTGGCAGTCATTCTCTGAAATTTAATTTTAAAGTATTTTATGTTTACAACGCGTTTATTTTAATAGCGTATTTGTTCTCTAGTTACCGATATCTATATCGTTATCGTTAACGATATCTTTAATATCCTCATTGTCCACCAGTTGGAGGTTCGCTTGGTTTAAAGCCACCTTTTCTAGGAGAAAATTCCTCGACTTTTCCCGCTTGGAACTTGGTATCTCGTATTTCCGTGTATACTTTATTCTATTCTATTCCTAGTGCTATTTGTTTTTAAATATTCACGTTAGAAAACATAATTGATGTATTTTTCCCGTGTTTGTCTGTGTGTCTGATGGAAAATAAATAGTATACTAGTGTGACAATTCGAAGACACTTTTTTAAATATTAACTGAGAATATTAAGTCTCTATTGTTCAAAACGGATTCTATACATATATGTACATATGTATATCGTGTGTAATATTGTTTTTATAATAAATAATGAACTTTTTAAATATTATAAATATACATTAGCTCTTTATACTTGTACTATATTTAAAATGTAATATTTGTTTAAAGTATAAAATTTTTGGTTTACATAACAATGGAATTAAATTTAGCTTTTAGCATATTATCAACTATCCCATTTATCAATATAATTGTGATGGTAAATTATTCGTATAACAAAAATTACATATGGGAACTTATAAAATCTTCTTATTGATATTACTTTGTCAAAAACTTTTAGAATAAATATTTATTAATTATTAAAATCTTACTATACATGATCAACACAATGGTAGCCTGGTAACGAATGCCATCAGGCATTAAGTTCGCACATGTATACATAATAGAATCAATAAAAATTAAATTTTGCACCTTTGGGAAAGGACTTGGAAAATATTAATTTTACGACAATACAAAATGTAATATATAATATGATATATAAACTACCAAACAGTAAGTTTAGAAAGATGAATTTTGGAACCTTTATATAAGACCAACCACGCGTGCAAATCTAAGTGAATCAACTAGTGTAAACATAAAATCTGTTTACAGACTAGGCCAAGATGGCCGACAATGCGTGCTCTACAAACTATGCGAGGCGGCGCAGACCGCGGAGCAAGGCACATTCCTGCAGGAATTCCTGAGAGTCATCTTCACGTGAGTATGGATTGTTGTTTCGCTTGGAATTTATTTTAAACTCGCCTGTGTACGCCGCGCCGCGCCATTTATGTATAATATTCCTGTGGTAATATCAACTCTATAGAAGTAATTTTAATAAATAATTTATTCAAAAATAATTTAATTACATGATTAAATTATTTTTTAATATATTATTTACGTTACTTCAGAACTATTTAGTCGTCTTATACAAGTTTTTGTGTTAATTTTTTTTCCTACCGTCCAGTGCAGGCTACAAATTCGTATGAGCAGAACTGTCAAGAAATTCGATTGATTTGTTTTTCAAATTTATTAACGATGATTATCATGAAAATATGGGATTTTCATTTAATGGTAGATCATAGACACTCGTATATGATAAGTTGCTGGTCTATACAAGTAAATAAATTGAAGTGTCTGTTTATTTATTCTTGTTAATTTCTAAATCGGATCTATTTCGACGGGGTTTTGACTCGCAGATTACTAATATTGTAGAGTAATATAAACAATTTTTTTTGAAAATTTTATTCATTCAAATAGGTTTATATGTATAAATCAGGTGTATTATAGAAAAAAAAGCTAATAAATTCAATCATTTGTAATGCACCCGTGCGAATCCGAATCTGTAAACTAGTATCATATAAATTATATAATCGTATCATGTAACCTAAATAATCTAATTTCACAGATTACCCAAAGGAAAGCAGTTCATGTTTGACGAACACAGAGACTACGATCAAGCCCATTTGCCGGCAGAAGACTGCGCGGCCTTGTACCCGGAATGTGATAATTTTGAATTGAGAATATAATAAAATATAAAAAAAAACTTTTTTTTATTTATAATTTTTTATGTCTTTGGAATGTCCACCTGGTTGTCCACCTTATGGTAATCGTTAACTATGACCTATATAAATGAACAGTACTACGGATATCACGTTATCACGTGTCTACTATATTATTCCAAAGGAATAGATCTTATCTCTTATCCTGTAATATGAACCAAAACACATTTTACGAAGAAAGGTACTTAGCGGCAATTGAAAATCGATTTCATATTTACATATATACTTAGAAATTATATCAATGAAAACCATTTATCCTCTGCTTCATATATTTTTTTTATAATACACATCATATTATGACGGCCTCGGTGGTGTAGCGGTTTAGCACACCGCTTTACAGTCGCAAGTTCGATTCCTCGTAGTATGCAAATAATTGTATTTATGAGTTTGATTGTTTGTATCGGTCTGGGTGTTTTCTATATATATTATGTATTTAGTTACAAAAATAATGTATTAAAGACTGATAATATTTTATCAGTTGTCTAATACTCATAACACAAGCTCTGCTTAGCTTGGGACTAGATGGCGCAGTATGAGTTGTCCCGAAACATCCTGAGAAGGATTACATATTATATATAAATTTTATTTAGATCGGTTCTGCCGTTCATTGGCGAAAAGGTAAAGATTAGACTGACAGACAGAAGTACTTTTGCATTCATATTTTCATTAAATAATAATTATCTATACATATAAATAAAATTGGAGTGTTTGTTTGTAATATTGAAATAACCGTTTTTACACATGCATGTAAATATAATTAGGTACCGTAAATACATCAAGATAACTTTTTTTACAATTTTTGTCTGTTTATCTGTCTGTTTGTTCCGGCTAATTTTGGAATGGCTGGATTGATTTTGACGGGACTTTTATTGGCAGGTAGCTGATGTAATAAAGAGTAACTTAGGCTACCTTTGTTGTAGAAAAAATATTTTATTTTAGAAAAATAAAGTAATGTTGCAAAATTCCACGCGGACGAAGTCACGCGTATAGCTAGTATAAAAATATATTTAAAGATGTTTCAGCCTGACCACAAAGTAGGTTATAAGTTAAACTTGATTTGTGTTCTACGTAAAAGGTTCTCGAAACATCATATATTATAACTATTAACACCTGTACTAATAACTAATTTAATTATAATTTCGAACTTTTAAACAATAATTTCATAACTACATGAACTACATTCTTATTACTAGGCTAATAATATAAAGTACGATATTTTAAAGCATTTTTTATAACAACGATAATGTAATTAATATTTTTATTCTAACGTTATAAACCTGTCGATCAAACACATCAAATATTGGTTATTCATTTGATGTAGCCGTTTGTTACAAATTAGTGTTAGTACACTATTTAGCATCTTAGAGAGAAGTCTTTCGTATGGACCAAGTAATTGTGTAAATAAGACCCCCTTTGTTTCAAGTGCTTGCTATTGTCACACGTCTGTACTGCTATCTTCAAATATCTAGGAAAAACAGGTAAGCGAGAATCCATATATAACTTAAAAATTATTAAACAGAATATAACTTTCTTAAAGTTTTTTTTTTAATTATATTTTCTTCAAAATTAGGTCTTTAATGACGTTGTGACTTCAGATTTAAATTTCGAACTGTTAAAATTAATGAAATTAAAATGTTCTTAATAAAATCTGTAAATTAAAACTTGTATACTTACAAAATTAAAAAATATGTCTGTTCTAAAATGCTTCTATTAAATTTATGTATCTATTAAGTTAATTCGAAAGATTATTTTCATTTCTATTTCTACTTTATAATTATTAGAAAATTGTATTGATTGAAATAATCTTATTTATGTATAAGTTATAGATTATAATTTTATATACTGATATTAAAAAATGGATATTTCCAGAGCACAATGGTTAATAAGTGGTACGTTTGGATTACTTTGTTCGTAACCTTGGACTGCGTAAGTGGAGAAGAGTGTAATTTAAACTATACTGATACTAAAGAATTGGAAAGTTTTGGACATACCAAATTATTGTCAAGAAGGAAAAGATATTTGACATTTCCTGATGGAAGTTCATTTCAGTTAAGTAAGTGATATACCAAGTGTATTTGTGGTTAGACAGGTTGTGGAAAAATTACAGGCATAACGATTGTATTGATAACATCCACATATTTATTAGGGACTAGCTGTTCCCGCGACTTCGTCCGCATGTAATAAAATTTTATTTTTCTAAAATAAAAGTAGCCTAAGTTACTCTACTACCTACCTGCTAGCAACCTGCCAAAAAAATTGCGGTTAAAAGTCCTGTCCAGCCATTTCAGAGATTAGCCGGAACAAACAGACCGACAGACAGACAGACAAAAATTGTAAATAATGTTATTTTGGTGTATATATCGTATTTATATTCATATGCATGTAGTAAAAAACGGTTATTTCTATATAACAAACAGACACTCCAATTTTATTTATATGTATAGATTATTTTTTATGGGTGATAATGGAATGGTACAGCCATCTGCCGGCGGTATATGTTGGCGGATTACATGTATCCTCCACTCCACGATTAGATGATTATAAAGTCACGTTAATTAACGCATAGTAGAGAATTTATTAAGGATTAATAAGGACTGGTTCTTAGAGGGACCACGTGGAGGTCAGCTATGGGATCACTGGTATCTACTACTGATAACCCCCCGCCGTATTACAATGAAGGAGATTATAATTTTGTACAATATATATAATAAAAAATATACGAGTTATTTTTATTCAATATACATTGCTTTATTAAATTGCTTATAGAAAGTATGATACAACTATAAAATCGGACATGTACATATATGAACACTAGCGATCCGAGTCGGTTTCAGAAGCATTACAAATCTTTAAGTTTTACGCATGTATTATACATATAAATCTTTCTCCTGAATCACTATATCTATTGCTGTAAATTGTATTAAAATCTATTGTGTAATTTAAAAGATATAAGCGAACAGACAGCCGCGGCGACTTTGATTCATACTATGTAAAGTTTAAATATATATATGAGTATATTTTTAATAATACTATCGACAAAATAACTGATAAAAATAGCAACTGCCGTAAAGATTACTCGTATAGAAATTAAAAATATTTAATATTTGTATAATTACACTAGTGCCTATTTATTTCAGTCTTTTGTGCACAAAATCAAGGATACCTCCCTATTGCCCATTTGATGTGGTTTGGGACCACAGCTGCGTTAGCCTGGGAGCTGCCTACAGATCCAAATTTTTTTTTAGCACTAAAAGAGTACGAGAAGGTTTCTAACGCTCATAGACGGCAAGATATTTCCAAGCACATATACTATTTGGATGAAAATGGTAAAGTCATCGGTAAAACACCATATACTCGTAAAAGGTGAGACAATATTCAAAAACAGTTTCATGAATGACTGTTAACTACTGTTGCTATGGAACTAAAGGGCATACAGTTATGATGAATGGCTCGCCGCGTGAATTTTAATAATCTGTGGCGCTTCGTTTAGCGCGGGAAACTGAATACGTTTGTTCTCTTATTTTGTAAAATAATATTAATTAACTCTGCATACTTATATTTATTGCTAAATTAAAAATTATATATTATTTTTGTTATACAACTGACTCAAGTTCAGAAGACAGGACTATAGAAAGATTGTAATTGTATTAAAAGTATTGTATTGTATTGTATATTGTATTGTTCATACTACCTTGTAACTTAAACAGCCAACACTAATATATATGTATACAAGAATCTTATTTTAGCGACTTTAGAAATAAAAAAAATAACAAACAAAATCTAGCATGCACTAATTGAAAATATATATTACATATTATATAAAAATCGAATAAAATTCCTGTAAATGTAACCACAGAGAGACAATCGCACCTAAGCTATTCCGGAAAATTGCTGTTCTGGAATTCTGTCGCATTCACCCATGTATTTTATTCCAGGAAACCTATTGTGAATCCTGCATTCGCTAAGCGCAGTGTAGATAACATACAAGAAAATAAAATGAAGATTTCTATCGCCGAAATGCATAATGTACAAAAAAGGAGAGATTACCTCAACAACATAGAGGAATCGAGCGTAGAATTCCACAGAGCGGGGCGAAAAGATCTTTATGAAAAACTCGAGACGCTGCTAGACGGGTGAGTGCATATCTTGAGTTTAAAGAATCCCTCGTGTTTTCATCCTACACACCAATTGCCTTTTACATCTACATGAAACTCACAGAAATTACCATGAAATCTTTATATATTGGAAGAAGCTTAAAGAAACTGATATAATGATAACGTGATGTCCGTAGTGTTGTATATTATTATGTCAGTAGGCTACGGTTATTACCATCAGATGAGCCTGATTGATTGTTCCTTCAAAAACATAAAAATCTATCGTATCTACTTCGCCCATAAGTTTGTATCTATTGGAACTATACGTGTGAATATGTTTTTCACTATATTACATAAACATAATCAACTAAATATAATAATAGAGGCATAAAACATTAATAGTACTATTGTGGGAATAGTACTTATTCCTATATATCGCCATGATATCCCTCACTCCGTTAGGACTTAGGTGTCATGCCTTCGTACCATGTAGGGTATGAAATTTTATATTACATTACAATATATTATCATATTATAATTTTCAATCAGCAACTTGGATTACGAAGTAATAGTAAGGCAAAGGTATCCGATAGACTGTACAAAGTCAAAAAGTGAATGTGGGTTTTTTGGACTCGTATACTCCAGTTATATTCTATTAGTGAATGCTATATTTCAGATTGGGTTGGAATGGCAGAGAGTGTATTCTACGGTTTCTATGCGAATATGGCAAAAAAAACAATGCACAGGGAACCTTTTTGGAGGAGATTATAAGGGCTACTTTTACGTAAGTATTGTCAGACTGTACATATTGTACATACCTATATGACGAAGGCTGATTTCCCATTACCTTAAAGGCTTAATCAATTATAAATTATCATTAATCATAGAAAACTTTGACTAATTTAATCATTGTAATGTCAACTTAGAGCAATTTTTGCATAATAATATATTTTTTTAATTCTTTAGATTACTACAAATAATAATATCGTAAAAAAAGGACAAAACGTTACTTTTACGACATTTATTGGGATTTACTTATTATGTAAAAAGTTTAAAAAAATAGTTTTTTGGCTCTTTTAAAAAGTTAGAATTTTGTATTAAATCCTATCTCACTGAATGGATGAAATTGACGTTTAACTGTATTTTTTTAATAAAAAGGACATGACAACAAAATATCATTTCCAATAACTTATTTTAATTTAATCCCGATTTCAGCCTATCAAAAATGACCCTACAGATATATACATAGTAAATTTCTCAGATCTGATGGTAATGCCGTGTTCTAATAGCGATTTGATAATACCCTAAACACAACATAACCCGCTGCCCTAAAGCGAGATATAATACTAACAAATGATTCTCCCACACTCTTTACATTCTATACCTTACGATAGTTATATTAGAGTATATTTAACGTATTCTCAAATGTGATTTATTTCAGAATTTATTATGTTTATTTGATTATTTTTAACTGCAATAGCAGACAAGCAAATAGCCCCACCTAATGAGAAGTTTCTAAATGTTTTTTATATATACTCTCCAACTTTTATATTTATATATAAATAGCACCAAGAACGTCATGATATAAGTTTGATGGCATTCGTGATCTAACGGTTTAGCATACCGTCTTACTTCCGATGATTGCGGGTTCAATTCTTAGCACGATACAAAGATTTACTCATGAGTATGATTGCTTGTATCAGTCGGGATGTTTTCTATGTATATTATGTATGTATTTTAAAATAAAATGCATCTGTATATTTATATTAGTTGTTTAAATCCATAACACAAGTTCTGCTTAGCTTGGGACTAAGTGGGGCTGTGTGAATTGTCTTGAGATATTATTATTGTTATATTATTATGTGACACCTGCTATATCATAATGCGATGACGTACCTGAAGTCTAACATATTTTGTCTTTATACCCTGTAATTCTACTGCTATATATCATCCTTCAAGTTCAGCTTATAAAGCAAGTTTTGAAAAATTATTCGACATGATGCCACCGCTCGCCATCGACAGGGAATTCATCCCCACACGCTGGAACCTAAGTACTCTCGAACAGTGCGGTTCAAAGGAGCTTCCTCCCGAGTACATTTAGATTATGGAATCTACCTTCTGAGTTAACTTTCTAGAGATTGCAGCAATGAGGTTTTTCATGTAGGGTATATTAGGGTTGGTTAAACTCAGCTGGTGACGCAGTATGTCTCTGCAGAGTTGATTTTCATGGAGCCTAACTCAAAAAAAAAGTTTTAAAGTCCAAATAGAATTCTGTGTAAAAATAGATGATATACTATTTGTCTCTAGGTTGATACAATTAATTCACGTAAGTGATCGCTAGAGGTGGAACTTTATTACCGTGATATTGTCTTCTAACGGTGCGGCTTAGTGCAATGAGGCTTGGAAAATGGGTTTATTCCAATGAATAATTAATAACTTTGCGAAGCTCAGGACTAGAATCCGCGACGGGATGAAGTTTAGGTACTATCTTAACAATTGTTCGAGCATCACTATCTACCTATGGGGGATTCTTCCGTTATGTCTCTTTACTGAATATTGTAGACAATATCGGTACTTTATTGAATTGATGTCCTTGTTGGTGTAGCGGTTTAACATACCACTTTACATTCGATGGTCGCGGGTACGATACTTTGCACAATGAGTTTTTTTATTGCTATAAATAGATTTGAGCTTGGTCTTACCTCATGTGCTGTAACACTATAAGGATGTAGCGCTTTTCCACAAAAGAAATCTATTCACTATAGAGTGTAATTAATTGTATTGGTGTTTCATATGAATTTAAGTATTGGTTGTCTAGTAATACCTTACTTATTTTTAAATTTTCTCGTTTAGTACGCATTATTAATATAGTTAAATGGGTTTTAATGCGTATAATTTTATGCTATAGCCGTTGTAAACTGTGAACAACCTAGTTGAAACGTCCAGAGGTAAATACCTTTATTTGTCATAAAATTATACGTTTAACTATATTAATAATAATAATACATTGTGTATTACTAGACTCAACATAGGTAGATACTATAAAGCGTTGTGTGAATTTTTATTATTATTAAGTGATAAAGTGAAATTACATAATTAAAAAAAAATTAAACAACATTATTCTATTTTTAAATTGGAAACCAAAATTATATTATGGTTTATTGTTAGATATTATTATTGTGTTAAAATAAAATTAATTGATTTAACAAAATATCTAAATAACATTATTCTATTTTTAAAATTGGAAATCAAAATCATAGAGTATAATGGTAATAGAAATAAGTGCGTGTTTTCTATTGTTCAGATTGCCTCGAGGCGGTGAGTCTGCGATCTCTACGAGCAGACAATACGATGTCGCCCATGGGACAGATGGGGAGTGCGCGAGCAAGTATCCACAATGCGAAGACATGCACGGTTTCCGATTGTATGATAACTAATAAAAAGAATACACGAGAATATCGCGGCTGTTATTTCTGTTTCGTTATTTCAATCTTGATGTTTCTGGATGATATTATATTTAATCTAATATTACATGCGCGAATGGGGTTGTCTGTTTGTTACTGAAATTTGGGTCTTAATAATTATTGAATAGTCAGATTTTTTTTAAATAAAATTTTGACATGAACATTCTTTCACGAAATTGACGAGAATACTGAAATCTTACCTAGTCACTAGAAATTTTTAGAAAATTTAAAACGCATTAGTCATTATATATGGAAAACTTATTTTGATGAAAGGTCAAAAAGTTTTTGGTATAAAAGTTTACAATGTGAGCCTCCTCATGTACCCTGGTTTCATTTCATTAAGTACAATAGGAAATTAATTGTCACAGCATTAAGGCTGCGTTCCGGACATTATCCATTAAATTCATTTGCCTTTTTAATGATAAATCGGCGAAACATGCAATACTATAGTATAGTGTCTTCTATAGAAGATCTGCATCACATATTAATGGAGTGTGTCCGAGACGCTGTTAAAAGGGATTGTTTTTAAAAAAATTTGGACTGAATCGGCTTGATGTTGGTATGTACCACGGTATACTATCTGATCCTGTATCATCGCCAGTTTTTATTTTCATTGTTTAAGATTAGTAATAAGATACGATGGGACTGGCATTATCATATTATGATAAAAATCCCTAAACAAATGTAAGAAAAAAAAAAAAAAAAAAAATTGACGTAGGTTATCTTTTATCAGGAAAGGGCTGAAATAGGGGATGAAATTTTGTTCAGGCGTGATTGCATGTAAAATGCTTGGATATTATAAAGTTGAACAGTTTGTTTGTTGTTTGGTGGAAGGCTATAATCTCAGGAACGTCGCTTAGCGAAAAATAACTAATAGCACGTAAAAATTATTTTTTTAATTAAATAGCGGGTAAAACCGTTGGCACGAATAGTATTGTGTACATTACATTTATAATAAAAATAAGCAGTAACAGTATAATAACTTTATAGAAAGTAGAAACTATTGTATTGTAACAAAACACTTGCTAGAGAACGATAACGGCTACCTATAGATATATTGTAATAGTTTCTGAACTGAGGTATACTGTAAAAAGTGATGTCATCCACGAAATTTCAGTCCAATATATTTCATCTTTTTTTTTTTTCGAGTTATTCTAATGCCGCAACTGGCCTTTAGAACTTTCTACCTTTTAGAGTTTGAACAATCGGTGACACTGTAAATTGGGGGAGTGTGCAGGTGTCACTCAAAACCCGCGGAAGGACTTATGGAGCAGCTGAAGCTCGACCTCTGCCTGCCGTATATGAGTTTAGTCTGACTCTGGCTCAGGCCGTCGTAATTTCCTTCCCCGTTTGAATTGGAAGGGGGCTCGATATGAAGAGAGGCTGCACAGATACCAAGCAGTTTGCTTTGTACGCTGTGTTTTGGTTTACAGCTATTATGATTATATTATATTAGTATTTTTGCGTGAGATTAGGTAGTGACAGATTTGGAGAAGAGGCATGACAACTTAGTCTTCTGGAATAACAACGCATGAGTGGTATCACTGTAATATAATAAAATGATACCCATGGTAAAGTTCATGTACCTACAGAGGAATATGTTGTTGTCATTCCCATTACATACATAAAAAAATCCATATTATAAAAGAAAGTCCGCCTCACGATAATTTCAAAAACTACTAAACTAGTTATCTAGCTCTTTCAATTCATCAACAGATAGATCTCTAAGGTAGATTTAGATGTGTAATTCGTTAAAGTTTTATCTATTTTTTTTAAATATGGATGTAAAACCAGGGCGTGTCACTTGACACACATAAACACACGTTTAAAAGTATATTATCTGTATAATGAGGCTGTAAGTATATTTTCAAATTGTAGGTACATTAAAAAAATTACGTCGATTAAGGTAAAAGCCAGAGTTCAGTAGCGTAGTGTTGTTTTACATTTATATGGCCCTTAAAAGCTATTATATATACTTACATTAAAGTATTTCCTTACGAAAATAAGCGTCCTAAAATAAGGACAAGATAAAGAAAATTCCCTCGAGGCATAAACGTTTCTTTTATGTATAGCTTAAAAAAATATAATGACGTCAATTCACTTACTGGAATTTCGAATATTTTGTAATATAATATTCTGATTTGCAAGTATTACTGCAAAACAATACAATCCAAGAGATTTAGAGTGATATTTTTTGAAGTAATCATTACCTAATATGAAGGTAAGAGAATTGAAAGTCGAATGGCAATACGAAGAAATGCCAAGACGGTGTGAAACGTGACTAAGCTAATGAGTGGAGGCGGCTGTCGCAGTCTAATTCTTTGATCAAACATCCCGGGTCACTGAACAAGTTCAAGAATCTCTTCGTAAGGTTGTTTTAGTATGGATATTATGATTTGTCCAATGACATATTTCATATAATAAAAATTTAACTGATTGCTGTCTGTACATCTTACTTCTTCTAATATTATAAATGCGAAATTTTGTTAGTATAAATATGGATGGGTGAATGTTACTTTTTCACGCAAAAAACTATTATAAAGGATTATTTTGAAACTTTACAGTAATATAGCTTATATATCAGAATAATACATAGCCTATAATTTAAAAAGATACAAAGTAAATTGGATTAAATATAATGATAATAGTCAAGTAAGTGTGATGCAGGCGAATTAGCGCGATCAGCTAGTGGAAGATATATCTGATTAAATTTTCGTCTGAGCTTTTGTTATATCTGTATTGAAATAAAGTTATAATATATACATATACATAAAAAGATCTCATTCTAATTGTATAAAATTGTAATAAAATAAATAAAAACCGTTATTCAAGATTACTTAATATTTTTATGTTTTTTATTCCATTTGGTTTAGATACAATAAAGTTTCAAACTACATATGTTTATTCCGAACAGTATTGTACAAAGTCGCGGGATTAACTAGTAAATAGTAAGTTTAGTTCATTCGCATTTTAGATTATATTATTACTGTATTTACTACCTCCTATATTTCTGTGGGATGATGTTTATTTTCACGGAAATATAATAAATATATAAGGCAAAGTATGTAATTAAATATATAAAAATAAATTTAATTACATACTTAATAAATACGTATGCGGATGTACGTATACATATTCTATTTTAATATTGTATAATAATGCCATAATTAAATTTCAGTTTCTTATCCATCCTTTTTTGAAACTTCTCTCAGTGGGTGTACGACAACAAAAGTTGAATTCAGTTTATTTGTATAAATATTATTTCTATTAAATTTTTTATGCTGGAATATAAAATGTGTACTTAAATTATTTCAAGTATATATATTTCCGTTTCTTTGTAAAAAGACGGTATAGTGATTTTACAGATGTATTAATTGATGCATAGGTATATTTTGAATAGTTATAATTAAAATTAATTTCAATTTCAAATAAAATTTAACTTATTTTTAGTTTTAAGTTTTGTTTATTTCTTCAACCATAAATTAAATATTAAAAAAATACAAAAACATATATATTGTATAAAATAATAATATTTAGTGAAAATATATATAAATGTATAATTTATATATATAGTGGGAACGGTTTATCTACACCACGCTAACGTTAATAAACAAAGACCTGTGGGCTAATTATGTAACACGATATGAAATTGTTTCTGTTGAAGTTGTGATGCAATATAAAATCATTTCAATTTAAGAAATGCAAAGTAATATGCTGACGGCAACATAAACCATTTCTATCGATAAAACACTACTATGAAATTGCAGCGGAATATTGTTAATCCGACCAATTTAAAAAGTCAGTACATTAGATAGTTATACCTTTAGAGGGATACATTTTAAATTATTGGGTTAATACACTAGTTGATTGATTTGAAACAATTTTTATTGCGTTCAAAAATTACAAAATATACTGCAGCGTTCACTTGTTCTTTTATTTTAATTTTATTAATAGACATTTAATAAAATAAAATAAAGAAAGTCTATTCTATTCTAATGAAAAAATAAGGTTAATAATTTTGAATATAAAAGCATATTTTATACAAACTATTTATAATCATTAATAATATTAATCTAACCTACAAATTAAATTTTCTTTTCTGCTATAGATACCTAGGTAAGTACGTAGGTATCCATATAAATTTAAAATGATACAGCACATCTTTTTAAATTTGTACATAATTGTAAAAACTTTAAACAAATAAATTTATTTACTTTAAACAAATCACAGAGCATCATAAACGTTGTATTCCGTTCACAGAGCACCGTATTCATTGAAATAGTTTTTTAATCATATTAATATCATAATCAACCCTAATTTTATATTAAACATTTACTCTAGTTAATACAACATTCTATGTGATTTGGAACGAAAATAAAATATCGAATTGGCAACACTGATGTCGTGTTGTGAGTCGGGACAATTTTCCCATTTTAATAAATTTAAAACCTTTTCACGACTTTCTACGTAATATTTAATATAATAAAAAAATATGTAATACTGAAAATTACAAAACAAGATAAATAATATATATTTTAAAGATTGTAACCAAAAGAAACACCTTCTAAATTGTTTCTCATAATGTAAAAACCGTTTCAATTCCACGCTGTCATTTCGGCAAAATAGCGATTACGTGACGTATATATAAATCGACATTCGATAGAAATATTTTTTATATATATTGCGTTTACGTTGCAATGCTAGTTGACAGCGTCAAATGGCGTCAATATGATCGCATTATTGACAGATGACGTCATTTTCACTACGTTACATACGAAAATCGTTGCGAACGAAGTTACATAATTAGCCCACTGTTCAGAACAACTTCTAATGGAATGCACGTGACACCACGTGGTGTTACAATAGATACTATACTCTATGTACAACATGTTCATAGTGTTACGTAGATGTAAATGAAACACAAGCCACAATGCATGACAGAATCGGACTACTGGTGGTTGCAGTGTGCGTCCTGACATTAGTGTGTGAATCTGTGGATACCAAAGAAACATGTCCGAATGTGAAGAATTCCGTAGATTTGTCAAGAAAAAGGCGACATCTCGTGTTCCCAGATAAAAGCAACATGATTGTAATTAAATTTAATATTTAATAAATAATATTTAATTATGTGTGGTGTTTATCTAAATGTAATATTGAATATAAGACATTATATAATTAATGTAATATATTTTTACATAAATTATATATACATATTATTATGTGTGTAAATGTGTCGTTTTTGAAGACAAATTGTAATTATTATTATATTATCTTAAAATATGATATTAACTAAATTTAAATCCATGCCACAGTAAAATCATACGTTTATTCTGTTTTTTCAAGTATTCTTTTTGTTTATCTTTAAAATTAAGTTAATTGAGTACGTCAATTATTTAAAAGAAATACAATTATAGAAACCAATTTAATGATATAATAATTTATCAATACCTCATATTAAAATATGAATAAGTATATAAATATAATCATATTTTAAAAATTCTACACTATCAATGCCACTACAAAAACAGGATATATATCATAATGTGAAATAATTCTAATTTAAATTGTTATACACACAATATTTATTCTGCATCTGTTTTTAAGAATATTAATGGGACAATAGTTAATTGTGTATTATTTATTGTGTGTGTGTGAAATTATATACTTATTTATATATACTTATTTTAATTTATATATATAAAATTATAATAAATAAATGTTGTCACGTTTATATTTATATTAATTTTATTTAATAAATTAATTAATATCTGAAATGTTAACAGCTCACCATGTCCATAGTGAAAGCAATAATGACTCACGCACCGTCGGGTTGGAATATAGCGTTGGAAATAGATGTCATGTTCCCACTGCCAGATTCGAAATTCACACTCAAACATCTGAGAAGGAAGTTACATCATCGACAGATACGACAGCTATGGGAGGGCATAGAGAATGCAATTAATTTGTAAGTAATATAACTTTATAACTCCTTTTTTGATATGACAAGCGTAATTATATATCTAATGTATAATTTTAATGTTTAAATTGCAACTTATATAAAATTAGTCTTAAAATTAACACAGAAGAGAGAAATTTTAAAATTTTGTCTTTATTATATTTATAATATAAATATATGTAATAGATATATAATATACGGTATGCATATTAAATCAATATTATTAATTATCATATTCAACTATAATAGCCGAACGATTATTTTTGTTACTAGTAATTTTATGTTAAGATCGACAATCAATGGCGTTTTATTTAGTATTAATGCATATCTTTATATATATATATATATATAAGTATTTTTTAATGATTGTACGTGCCAGAATAAAAATGAAAAAATATATAGAAAAATATTTACAGTAGATTTGTGGATATTTGATATATTTCTATATATATTTCTACTTTAAATTGCGTAAATCGAACGGCGTCATTGGCATTCGTCTGGATTAAACCTAATATATTATTAGTTAGAACCTAGTTTTATTGTTTCTTAGTACTTACTCGGAAAATAGACGGTTATCATAACTTATAGAGTAACGACTCCAATGCTATCTTCTTTTATGGATGATAATGGAATGCTGCACCGGTTTACGCAGGCGTGGCACCAGTAGAGGACGATAAGATGAGCATGAGGTCAGGTCAGTTAGCCATTCATGGTAAATTCATCATAAATTTATCAGGATCTTTTCCAGGAGGAACCATATCTTTTTTTATGGTTGGTAATGGAATGGTGCACCGGTTTACGCTGGCGTGGCACCAGTAGAGGATGATAAATGAGCATGAGGTCAGGTCAGTTAGCCCTTCATGGTAAATTCATCATAAATTTATCAGGATCTTTTCCAGGAGGAACCATATCTTTTTTTATGGATGGTAATGGAATGGTGCACCGGTTTACGCTGGCGTGGCACCAGTAGAGGATGATAAATGAGCATGAGGTCAGGTCAGTTAGCCCTTCGTGGTATATTCACCATGAATTTATCAGGATGGTTTCCAGGAACCACGTGGACGTCAACCTGAGTATATTAACAATTCCCTTTCAGCAATCCACTCGGACGTTATCGATTCATGTAACTTGTAAATGTTGTCACAGTATCCATAAATTTCATTGTCATAACTAATCTTGCGAACCAGAATATATCAGACGAGGGCGCTAGTTGGCGGCAAAATTTATTGGTGAGGCAAATATACCCAATTACCCATGTAGATAACTTTTTTATAGTCTTTAGTTATTCTATTTTATTGTTTTTGGAAATTTATTTAAAATATAACTTACCATTCGCGAATGTATGTATAGAGTTCAGTATTCTCACTATTTCTCTTGTTAATATTTTTTTAGGTAATCAGTTATAAATTACCGTACAATAATCCTTACTAATGTTTTAAATGTAAAAGTAAATGTCTCTTTCGTGCTTTCACGCCAAAACTACTGAACCAATTTAAATGATTTCTGGTACAGCGATAGTGTAGACTCTGAAAAAGAATGTAGGCAACTTTTTACTGCGTAAAAGTAAGGGGATGAAAGGTTGTGTAGAAATATCGTTATTTTAAAGCTAGAAGCCTGAAACTTATTTTTTAGGCTGTTGATTAAATAAAAATAATATGACATTTAAAGTTGGCATTTATATATATTTTACTCTTAAGAGGGAAAAAAAAATAGGGGATGAAAGTTTGTAAAATAATTAGCCTAAAAAGCTAACCAAGGTCACTATTCCACGCAGACGAAGTCGCGGGAACAGCTAGTTTATTATAAAAATTTATATAATCATTTTTATTTTTAGCCAAAACTTGAACGGCCGCGCTTGTATCCTCAAAAGCATATGCGAAGCGAAGTTGTATTTGGCGCCTCCAGGGAAATCATTAGTTCATGACATATTGAGGGCAATATTTGCGTAAGTATCTTAGAAATATTTAAAGATTTGTGTAACACGAAGGAAGAATTCCTTCTCAATAAATATAGGATCTAACTACAGCGGCAGTACCTATACAGTTCTAATATATATAGTCTTACGTATAATCTATGTCTAAGGTATAATCATATAATCTCTGTTGGATACTTTTGCATTATTAACGTACTACTAAATTTTATTGTGCATTCTTTACATAATATTCTCTGTATCATTCAATATATTCTTCTTCTAATGTACCTACATATAAATTTTAACACGTAAGGTCTAGTGGGGGGACCTGGTGACCCGTGACACAGGTTCATCGGATGCCTAGTACAGGCACCAGTTCTCCACAAATCTGTATATATTTTACATGCCTCAAAGGCTCTGCAGCACTCTATAATATGTATGATTTTGTGGAGAAAAATAAATATATTATTATTATTATTATATACTTAGTATAAATATAGTCTATGATATTTGTAACGTACTCTGTGCAGTTGATAGTCTGGATTGTAAAAATGGCGGGAACGGCCTAATTAAATGTGAAGCGCAAATTAGTATTTTATTTATTTAAATACAGTACAAATTGGCGATGAGTAATAATTCACGTGTGTAATTAAATCTGCATTAGTAAAATTGTATTGTAAATGTATGTAATGGCTATTTACGGAAATGTAAAGTTCGGCGATATCCTCAACTTTGACACCGCTCCAGGAATGAAGCATATTCAAAAGTCATTTCATTCAATACTGCATTGCAAATTATATTAATGAAGAGAATGATAAAAGTGGAATAAAACGGCGTGCATTATTATTAACGGCTTTGGTGGAAGACACATACCGCGTAGCGAGGGATATAATATTTCCTACGCCAGTAGAAAGTGAAGAATATAAATGTCTCTTGGAGAAATTAGATACTCATTTTGCTTCAAGAAAGAGTACATTTGCAGAACGTTATCAATTTTATAAAGCAGAACAATGAATTGGAAAGGATTTGGCTGAATGGGAGGCAGAGCGTGTGCGAATGCGCTAAATGTCGCACATTTAGCGCAGTATTGCGGGTTGACAACAGAGTTAGATACCGCTTTGAGAGATCGTTTTGTATTGGGATTAGAAAACACAAGAGAGAAAGAGAAATTGATTGCGGAAACGGTTAATAAGGCGTTAGAAATAGCGCAGAATGTACGGTGTGCCCGGATCGCGTTGCAAGTGTCGCAGACAGAAGTGAGCGCGGGCGGCGCGGCTGGCACGCGGCGGCTTCAGCTCCAGGAGGAGCCGGTTTATGCTGCGCACTCTTATTATTATTTCTTAAACTTAAAAAAAAATCTCATCTTCTCTCTTAAGGAGAGGAGATGGCAACTTATCCCCGGCAGAAGCACAGTCGGCCGGGGTTCAGGGCCCCAGGGAGAGAAACCGGCGTACAATGCGGGCAGAATCTAAGAGCACCGCTTTCTGCATCTTTCCCGGGAGTGAGCCGCCTCGGAATCCCAACCGTCTGAGATGTTGTTCCAGACTGGTTGGGATAAGACCGTTCACCGACATAACGATTGGAATGATTTCGGTGGACATCACCCCCCACATTTCGGTCACCTCGTGAGTCAGGTCGAGATATTTTCTCTTTTTCTCGGTTTCGGCTTTCACGAGGTTCTCGTCATGCGGTATGGTGATGTCCACCAAAAACACCCTCGCGAGTGCCCGATCCATCACCACGATATCAGGTTTGTTCGCAAGAACAAAATTATTATTATTATTATTCCACTATTCTGAAAATACATGTAGTTGGTAGCATTATAGTGATAACTAAGACTCAGCATGTCCTAGTTATCTAAATGCCTTGTACCTAACTAAGTACCTTGTTTTCATGATTTTATTCCTATGTATTTTAAAATGTTCTTCTATTACACGTGTATACGATTTAAATTTACCTCATAATTTACATAATATTTATTAATATACCATTTATGCTTTTACAGTCTTATATTAGAATCTTTTCTCATGCTTGTTATATCATTACGTGTGTAAACCTCAAAAGCGGAAGGTGCACTTTCAGTTTCCAACTCGATATGCACATATCCTCTTTAAACAAAAGAATAAATAGAATGCATGTCCCAGAGTAATATATTAGTATCAGCTGACCGGGAAAAACGTTGTTTTACTTTATAAATTAATATTAATATTAAAAATAAAAGTATGATGATGGTAGAAATTGAACATTTTAGGTTATTTATTTATTAAAACTTTAATGCACTATAAAAAAAATGCACATAATTGAAAGTATGGCGGACTTAACACTATGCGGCATTATCTACCAGTCAACCATGGGTGGTGCAGAGAATAATTGTTATATTTATATGGTTATATATTTATATAATTGGATAGATGGATATTTGTTACACTTTCACGCAAAAACACCTACATATATCTAACAGTGGATTGCAGTGGACTAATGATAATGACAGTAGATTACATATGTCATAAGAATCTGTACTAGACCTACATGAGTAAAGGATATTTTGATTTGATTGCAAAAACTACTAAATGGATTTATATGAAACTTTACAGTAATATAGTTTACTAGCTACTCGCCCCGGCTTTGCCCAGATGTACATGTAATATACATATAAACCTTCCCCTTGAATCGCTCTATCTATTAAAACAACGTTGCGTAGTATTAAAGATTTAAGCATACATAGAGACGGACAGACAGCGACAGCGACTTTATTTTATACTATGTAATGATGATACATCAGAATAACATAACAAGCGTCGATGTAAAGAGTTACATATACCATATATTATCTATCAGTCTCTACCTGGTATCAGTATAATAACGTTATAATCCTGCTACGTGTTGCCACTTGTTCAGATTAATTGTATTTCGATATCACAGCATTGAGTTGCCGCCGTGTATTTTCATGCCTCATTTTAATCACTAAATTCCCTGTCTATTATTTCAGTATTGTAGTACTTGATAGTAATTTGAACGGAAAATCGTGTTTAGCTCAACTCTATTATTTATACTGCAAGTAATTAGCATTTATGTATTTTGTATTATTATATATACAAAATAACTATGTATTATTGTATATATTCATCTAATTATATAATTTGGTAATATCTGAAGGTCTCAGTGATATAGCGGTTTAGCAGACCGCTTTATTTTCGATGGTCGCGGGTTCGTTTCGTCGCCGGTATAAACATTTTTAAGTATCAATTTTTGTATTACTCTGGGTGTTTTGTATAGTATATTAGAAATCTATTTACAAAAAATAGAATTGTGTTTTTATATTGTCTTATTAGGATTTAAAATTACAATTTTTCTTATGTATTTTTTTTTAACAATAACATAAATCATATCAGTATCATGTAGTTCTATTATAAACTTTATAATGGCGTCTCTTTTATTACTTGTGGTGGTGGTGGTACTTTAAATATTATATTAATACGTGAAGAAAAACTATTTTAACTATTTTAATAAAAATTACGTAACAGAACAATGAGATTTCGTTCAGATATAGGTTATATATAGATGTTAGGTTATATATAGATGACTTTGTATGGATCTGAATGTTGGGCTGTAAAGGAGATGGACGAAAGACGTGTGCATGTGGCAAATACGAATGTTAAGATGGATGTGTAGGGTTACCAGGAATGACAGAATAAGGAATGTGTATATACGTGGAAGTTTGAAAGTTGCACCGGTTATAGAAAAGTTGCGAGGTAACAGATTGAGCTGGTATGGGCATGTTATGCGGAGGAAAGAGGATCATGTCTTATGGAAATTGTATAATATGAATGTGGATGGATGTAAAGGGAGGGGACGCCCTAAGAAAAGATGGATGGATTGTGTGAAATATGATATGAATAAAAGAAGAGTATGTTCAGATATGACGACCGATAGAGAGCAGTGGAAGAGAACGACATACTGCGCCGACCCCAAATAATGGGATAAAGGCAAGGCAATGATGATAGGTTATATATAGATAGAGTACGGAATGCTAATATTTTTTAAAAGTCATGCACAAAAATACTTTAAGTCAATAAAAAAAACATTGATAATGCCTTTATTCTTTTATGCAAGTGTGTGTCATTGATATTTGACACACACTTGCATCAAAGAATAAAATAATGTAAAAAATATTATTTAAATATTTATGGTCGAATTTTCACTATTGGGCGACACACGTATTTAAGAAAACTAGGCAAAATTTCTTCTGCATCACACTTACTTACCATTTATCATTATATTTCGCAATACTTTTAAATTTATAGTTTATGTATTTTCTGATGTATAAGCTTGTAAAATTTCATCAAAATGTGTTCAGTACTTTTATTAGCGTGATAGAGTAAATATCATCCGTCCATACTCACAAACTTTCGCGTTTATAATACTAGTAAGATAGTACTTAAATGGTGAAATATACAATACATATTTATACATATACACGTATTTTAGAAGCAATTATGAGTAATGTTCCTTGTTACATTCTTTCCTTAGATAGAAAATAAGTGCAATATCCCATGGCGGAGTACAATGCATCATACTGCCACCTAAGGACGCGGCAGCGCACCGCGCACCGGGGGCTACACATTTATTATGTAACAGGAAATACTCGCATCTGCTCTTTATATTTAAAATTAAATTATTTTTTAATCATAGCCAAAATATATTATTTCTATTTTTAGACACAGTTTACAAAATTTTCATTTCTTTTTCTTGCTTATCCCATTTGTTTGGGGATGGCCTATGTTTTTCTCTTCCATTCATCCCTGTTAACAATAATAATAATAAATGAATAAGCACTGGACAATTAACACAGCGCTATGTAGTCCCACGGTAACCAATGCTTGGGTTATGGGTACTAGATAACTGATATAAATACTTAGATTGTTTTTTCATAAATATATACATAATATGCATAGAAAATACCCAGAACGATACGAAGAATCATACTTATGAATTAATTTTTTTGAAGACATAATTAAAACAATATATATGTTTACCCTGCTAACCTTTCAATTATCTTTTACATTAATAATAACACTAAATCACGCTGACACGAGGCTGAGGTCCTTATGATAGTATCATATTATGGTATATTACAATAATAGTTAATAATTGCATAATTTATTGCTTGCATTTGGTATATTTTGCACAGAATACAATGGGAAAATTATGGAACCCATCACTTAGAGTTTAAGTGGACCGCTCCGAGCTGTACAGACCTCAAGAACTCCAGACTAATAAATTATTTACGTAATTGGTTTCACTGGCATCCCAGCCACGAACCTGACCACAATTTAGGGTTGTTTAAAGAAAATTTCTATTCTTTCTGCAGTTGACGTTAATTTTAACCGATTTAACAAAAGTAAAATTTCTTACATTCTTTATTTTTAATGTACTTGATAAAGGCAAACAAACTGCAATTTTATTATCTAATACTGCAACTAAAATATAGTTTACAAAGAAAGGTGCTTGGCAGCTGAAGTAGATAAGATTGAGATACTAAAACAGACCCATATGCGTTACTTTTAAAAAAGACTAGCTTGGGTAAAAAAATTGTTAATTTGAAATCTGATATGGAAACACATGAAATATTAGATTTCAAATTATAAACTAACTAGTTTTGGTATTATGCTCAAAAATGCGATTGTGTCGGTTTTTCCTTGGCCTGAAAACTATATTTCCTTACTTTAAAGAATATGAAGTGATACATATCATGTCAGTTTAATATGTTTTATGATTCTACTCACGGCCCATTCCGACTTTACTCGCGTACTTGGGTTGAACAATATACATAATATATACGTTATGCACATCTGACATAATGAAATGAAAGATCACAGCACTGAAATACTGTAAGATTTCGAAAATTCACTCAATAAAATTCATAGAAATAGAAATAACCTTTATTCAAATAATAGAAACACTTTTGAATAGTCATGATTTTCATTCTACCACTCATTCAGAACGCAAATCACATCATTACAAGAAGATTGATCTAGAAACTTGCGTGTATATACATACATGTTCACTCAATTATATTACATAATGTTATGTATATACAGATAAAAATAAATAAAACTATTCTGTGGTTATTCCATTAGGAACGAATGATTAAGTTCTTTCTATTAATAATCAGACAATTAGGCTAAAAAGATTTGCAAAAAATAATGTGCTGTTTGAAATTTTGTGAGCGTATTGAGTAGGTCTGAGAATCGGCCAACATCTATTTTTCATCATCATTTTTTTATTTTAAGGCAAAACAACGTTTGCCGGGACAGCTAGTATATATATATATTATATAGTTAGCTCTCTACCAAAAACTGCATTTAATTGACAATTGACATAGTAATTTTGATCTGTGTGTATACAAATATACAAAAACTCTTAAAACTGTTGTAACAACGTTCGTGTGCTGATAAAAACTCCAATAAGAGTTTTTTTTTAATATCTACAATGCATAGACAACCGCCTTTTACAATTTTATTACAATTATATATATACAGATAAGAATAAATATAATTACTCTGTGGAAGTTCCATTACGAACAAATGATTAGCGTTTTTTTCTATTAACAAATTTTAGCAATGTGAAAATTACTAAATACATTTTTCTAAACAATCAAAGTATTATGTTATACAGAAGATTTATAAAAATAAATGGTGAGCTAGCGAGCTCGATGTCACAGCTAAGAATCCGTGAAAGTATTCATGTTACAATCTATTGACAGCCAACCGCCCGCGTAATCGCTTTTAATTTGACATGCGCGGAATTACACTGTTATTTTCCCGGAGTGACACAATTGATATGGCGCGTAAAATTGGTACAACTAGAATGTGTTTTATGTACGAATGGGATATTCTGCATAAAAAAAGATAGTATTAAATAATAGATTTGTTTGCTTTTAATTGATCATTAGGCTCACAAAAACTTTTTATGATTTAGGAGGATCTATGTGGTATAATAGAATTTGATTGGGCAGTGAAATTATAGCATAAGAGGCATGACTTCTCACATCACTAGAATGACAATGTATGAGCACTTGCTGTCTGACCATTTATGTATATATAGTAGATTAACACTTACTATGAGATGACCAGTAAGCTTGTTTGCCTTCCCAATTACTTAAAAAATATTAATAAATTAGATTTCCCTAACCGGCTTTAAGAAACTAGGATATAAAAGTTTGTAACGAATTAAATGATAAAAAATCTATTCAGAAACAATTTAGGACATTTCTCAAGCACTAATAGAATAGAATATTGTAATACAAAATAACTATAATACAGTGAAACATTCGGATATTAACGTGGTTTCGAAATTTAGAAAATTCAAATCTCTCGAAAACACATTAGTAAACATGAATCAAACTCGCCTATTTACAATTAAAATTAAATAACGATTTAATATTAATATATACATATATAAAAAATCTCTTATTTGAGCATGCCGCGGCAACGAGTAATTAAGTCAATAACACTATATACCTGAACTTCTTGCAATTAAATAATAATTGTAAATATAATAGATGTAGTGTAAATTATTGGTCACGGAAACAAATAAATAAATGAAAATAATTTTGTCGGTATTGTATTAAAAAGTGAATAAACATAAATATTAATACGTGAAATTTATATGAAATGTAATTTAAAAATAAAAGGATCATTAAACTGGCAACAAACGAGTTACGTATACAATGCTTTCTAGATTTACAGTTTTCCTAGGCTCTACACAGATAGGTATCCATTAACAATGGGTATAAAAAAGGCTAGTGGGACCTCCGGAGCGTCCGTAAACTACAGCGTTTGGTAACAGAATAATACTATGCCATTACATACAGACGTTCATATATAAGGGGTGCAAAGCATAAGACTATAGCGGATTTCTGCTTTTTTAATAATAATAATCTCAGGACAATTCACACAGAGCCATCTAGACCCAAGTTAAGCTAGCTAAAGCTTGTGTTATGGGTAGACAACTGATACATATACATAGATATTTTTTTTGGTAAATACATACATATTATACATAGAAAACTTATATAATACAAATCACCATCGGTCGAAAAGCAGATCATGTAAAATATATCACTTACTAATATTATAAAATAGCTACTCACAGTACAGGTATTATATATATAAACCTTCCTCTTGAATCACTCTATCTATTAAAAAAACCGCTTCAAAATCCGTAATGTAGTTTTAAAGATTTAAGCATAGGTACATAGGGACAGACAGCGACAGCGACTTTATTTTATACTGTGTAATGATGAAGTAAAAGCGTCTGTCTGTTTACTTATATACAAATCAGAACAGATCTTAAACAAATATGGCATTAATTTAGACTATTACTAGGACGGTCAGGGCTATCTTTTATCTAGAGTTCAGAAACTAACAACAATTGGCCAACTGACTTAACATAATGCTCATTCGATCATCTCTCACTATTGCCATATCAGCGTGTATCATTAGGGAGAATATAAAATACAAAAGTGTAGCCCTGTATATAATAGACAATAATTATAATAATCGTTTTTTGCGTTCGTTTTTTATTGAGATAAAAATTACTTATTTTTTATTTTACTTGAGATACAATCTATCTTCAAATGAAAATATGTTAAAATACGTTAGTTATTTATGTAAAGGTAATGAAACATAGACATATTTTACGCTAATCGACTTCAGAGGTAGACAATGATGAACATGTAGAAATGGCCAATTAGAAAATTAAAATACAATGCAGACCTGAAATCTATAGACTTCTATGCGATGCTTTTAATAAATTATCTTTATATCTGCGATCGACGGACAAACTTTATTAAAATATCTTATTGTTAAAATATCCGCTCGCGGCTTATGAAATACACTGCAGACCTAAAATCTACGGCCTTCATACAATGACTTTTATAAACTTATCTTTTAAATCTTTGTTTTATCAATCGACGGACCAATTCGTTAAAAATGGCTTATAGTTTAATTATTTCCGCTCGCTGCTTATGAAATATACTGCAGACGTAAAATCTACTGCCTTCATGCGATGGCTTTAATAAATTATCTTTATTTCTAGGGCTCCACTGTTCGAGGAAGAGTTCGTGCGGGAAGTGGGCTGTCTCTACGATGAATTATCGGACCCACACTATTGTGACAAAATCAACGACTGCCCTTTCTCTCTGCTATATTTTCTTATAACAAAATAGATTTGTTGCAATAAATAATTTTAATATAAGTATGCAAAAGTTTTTTTTATTCATTAATATTTGCCGAGGGAGATTTTTAAAGTCGCTTAAGATGGTTATTTCAGTTGGTTATTAATAATAATAATATTCCTGAACAATTCTCATAGCGCCATCTAGTCCTAACCTAAGCAGAGTATGTGTTATAGGTATTAGATGACTGATATAAATACATAGATTTTTTTTATCTATGTATAAAAAAAACGGAGACCGACACAAACAATCATACTCATGAATACAAATGTTTGTATCGATCGATAACTCGAATCCGCGAACATCGGAAGTAAATTAAATCGATAGATCACCGAGGCCATCATCTTGCTTAAGATGTGTTTTTCTTGAATGGTTTCACCATTCAAGAAGGCAGCAAGCATTTAAATTACAGGAGGCATAGTATTTTGTTCCTCCAAGAGAGATGGTGGTAGACCACCAAGCATGTGCCTCGTTGGATTTCACCATCAAATTGTGGGCATCTCATTTACCATAGTAATCACATTTGAGATAAATAACTTATATTCCGATGATATGCGATGACGTCATCAGCCGAGACGTATGTTAGGTCAGAGAAATCGTTATAAAAAGAGGTTCAGCATCCAACATTCAGTTCATTTGGAGATTTTACCTTCAATTAATTACGAACAAGCTCTTAATGTACTGTTTAAACTTTTAATTGTACTTTGCCATCCATTTCAACGCATAATTCACGATTACGCCACTCCGGAGAGTTAAGCAACCAACATTAAGTAAATGTGTGAAACATAAGCTAATCTACAGAATTTTAGTAGACGCTGAAATACTTTTTTTTAATTGGGTTGCTAAATAAGTTGGTTGTTCACCTCATGGTAAATGGTAACCGTCGCCTATATACGACCTATATTTGACGGCCTCGGTGGTCCAGCGGTTCAGCACACCGCTTTACTTCCAAAGATCGCGGGTTAAATTCCTTGCAGAGCACAAACATTTGTATTCATGAGTATGTTCTTTGTAGAGGATGCCCACGTTATAGTAACTTTATGCATGCAAGGTCTCAGCCCGATCGGTTTAAAATTGACAAAGTTTCATACCAATTTTCACCCCCTATTTTATCCCATTGGGGGCAGAATTAATCAAAATCCTTTCTTAGCGAAATGTCATAATATCTACCTGCAGGCCAAATTTCAGCCCGATCCGTCCAGTGGTTTGGGCTGTGCGTTGATAGATCACTACGTCAGTCACCTTTGAGTTATATATATTTAGATATTTAAAATAAAATCCGATTTCAATTATTGTTTTTTTTTTATTGAGTAACATATACATTAAAATTAAGTTTAGGTTTAGTACAACTACAAAATTCAAACACAAAAGCAATACATGACGATCGAACATTGTACCTCTTTTTTTAGTCGGTTAAAATGGCTAATTTATATTTGCTGCATGCTTATTCTGAGAAAATTTCTCATATTTTCTATATTCATAAGTGCATAATGTTTCATTCACGTGTAACTTTAAGGTTTTCTCTATTCACACGGCTTCTACAGAATATCAACTTTGTGGCAATTAATTTTCTGTGGTAATTAATTTTCCGTACCACATACTGAGTGGCGATTACGTGGGGCAACAAAACTTAGGTAATTATTATGTTGTCATATATGTAGTACTTTATTCTATATGTTTCGTAATAAGAATGAAAACTATCTAATATTAGCGACCCGTCCCAGCTTCACAAGGATGCATTACAAATCTTTGAATTTCTTGTCTTGTTCTATATTATAACACGCATGTATTATACCCGTAAATTTAAAACTTTCTCTTGAAGTGCTGTAAATTGCATTGAAATCAGTTGCGTTGTTTAAAAGATATAAGCGAACCGACAGATAACAGCGGTTTTGTTTTGTACTATATAAATAATTCTCTTGACACTGTGTTGTCCTACTTTGTTGTTCTTCGAAACGACTTTACCGATTTTGGTGAAATTTTATATGTGTACTCGGTAGAATAGGTAGGTCTAAGTATAGGTTGTTATAATTTTTTATATCAATTAATGATAAGGGCTGTCCACCCTAAAACTTTTTTATTTAATTTCTTTTATGGTTAGTTATTAAAAAATTCATAGAACCCTAAATTTTCACCCTTCTGTCATTCTTAATAGCAATATTAATTTATATGGTTAACGACGTTTGCCGTGACAGTTAGTATTGCATACAAACGCATCCTTTTTTTCTTTATTTTTTATTTACATCTTCAATTTTCTTGACCTGGAGAATATAAAAATAATATAGTAAAATTATTAATTAGGGATGTAAGGGAGCGCGAACACCAGCCCAGTGCTCTAAGTCAACCTCACCTGCTCGCGGTACATCCTGCTAAATAACAGACGAGGCTCTGACGACCGACAAATGGCGGTATAACCATTCTATCTACACAGTTTCAAATCCCACAGACTGATGATGGGCAGCAGCGTCATCGGTGCGAGAAACTGTGTACTACGATCGCCAACCCGCATGCCCAGCGTGGCGATTATGGGCACATTCCTCCCATGACAGGTCCTACACAACCATGGCCCCTAGTTCCCGGCCGCTCTGCTATTCCTGGCCAAGGCGGCGGTCATGGTAACGGCAGAGCAAGGGGTGCTAAGAATCCCCGGGCTACGGTAGGCCGCCAACACTCATTGACCCTGGCTACGTATAACGGACGTACACTGCGACTGGATGAACACCTCGCGCAACTGGAAGAAGAACTGAAATATATAGGATGGCATATTCTTGGTCTTTGTGAAGTCCGAAGAGAGGGGGAGGACACCATGACTCTGGAATCTGGCCATCTTATGTATTTTAGGGAGGGAGAACAACCTTCCCAAGGTGGTGTCGGGTTTTTGGTCCATAAGACCCTAATAAACAATGTTGTAGAAATCTCCAGTGTGTCGAATAGGGTTGCGTATCTCGTATTAAAGCTAACTGAGAGGTATAGCCTTAAAGTTGTGCAAGTATACGCACCGACATCGGCACACTCGGATGATGAAGTAGAAAGTATGTACGAAGACATATCCAAGGCCATACATAACACCTCAAAGGCATTCTACAACATTGTTATGGGGGATTTTAACGCTAAAGTGGGAATCCAAACCGGCAGTGAATCGACAGCTATGGGACCACATGGTTTTGGTAGTAGGAATCATAGGGGGCAAATGCTCGTCAACTTTCTAGAGAAAGAGGGGTTGTTCTTGATGAATAAGAAACAACCTCAACGAAAGTGGACGTGGCAGAGCCCCGACTCTATGACCAAAAACGAGATCGACTTCATCTTGACGGATAAGAAGCGTATATTCAGAGATGTCTCTGTGATCACTAGGTTTAAAACCGGAAGCGATCACAGATTAGTTCGTGGCTCTCTGAATATCGATCTTAAGCTGAAAGAATACGCCTGATGAAGTCGACGCTCAAATATGCTCCAAACCATTGTTGGTTCTAAAGCATTCCAATTAAAACTGGAAAACCAGTTTGCTGTTTTGGAAACCACAGACGGTATTGACCAAAGACTCGATACTATAATAGCTTGCCTCAAGGATGAAGGCACGAAATTTTGCGAGAAGAGGCGTACAGGAAAAAGGACTAGACTTTCGGGAGAGACTCTGCAGCTTATTCAACATCGACGCGACAAGTCCTCAACGCTAACATCACCAGAACACCGGGTATTGAATAAAAAAATTTCTAAATTGGTACGACGTGATCTCCGATCCTCGAACACACTTTTAATTGAAAAAGCAATTGAGCAGAATCGGGGATCAAAAGTGTTCGTCCAACAGCTAGAAAGAAGGCACTTGTCGAAGGTAACCACATCTGCAGGGACGGTTACCGCTTTTAAGCCGGAGATTCTCTCGGAAGTTGAAGACTTCTTCGGAGAACTGTACGCCTCACATGCATATCGGCCTGAATCTCTTGTTGTCGATTCCAGAGCTCCTCTGACACGCCACTACACTGAGGAGATGCCCGAAATTAGTCGTGACGAGATCGTGGTGGCTCTTAAACAGCTCAAAAATGGAAAAGCCCCAGGTGAAGACGGAATAACCACTGAGCTCCTGAAGGCTGGAGGTACTCCTGTACTTGCGGTACTTCAGGAACTCTTCAATTCCGTTCTCTTCACCGGGAGAACTCCACAGGCATGGAGTAGGGCCATAGTTATTCTGTTCTTAAAAAAAGGGAGATAAAACCCTACTGAAGAACTATCGGCCCATCTCATTGTTAAGCCATATATACAAGCTATTTTCAAGAGTCATCACGAATCGGCTTGCGCGAAGGCTTGATGAGTTTCAACCCCCGGAACAGGCCGGGTTTCGAAGTGGTTATGGCACCATAGATCACATTCACACAGTAAGGCAGGTTATACAGAAAACAGAAGAGTATAATCAACCTCTGTGTCTAGCCTTTGTTGACTATGAGAAGGCCTTTGACTCTATCGAAACCTGGTCTGTTCTGGAGTCTCTGCAGCGATGCCAAGTCGACTGGCGATACATCGAAGTGTTGAGATGTCTCTATAACGCTGCAACAATGACCGTCCAAGTACAAACCCAGCAGACTAAGCATATCCACCTAAAGCGTGGTGTAAGACAAGGGGATGTTATATCCCCTAAATTATTTACAACTGCGTTGGAGGATATGTTTAGAATGTTGGATTGGAAAAATTACGGCATTAATGTCAACGGCGAGAACATCTCTCACTTACGATTTGCTGACGACATTGTCATCATGGCTGAATTGCTGCAGGATTTACCACAGATGCTGAACGGCCTGGCTGAATCGTCTCAACGCATCGGTCTTCGGATGAATTTGGACAAAACCAAGATCATGTTCAATGATCGCATTCGTCCGGAACCGGTCGCCATTAATGGAGTATCTCTCAAAGTTGTTCAGGAGTATATTTATCTAGGGCAAACGCTCCAACTAGGTAAAAACAACCTTGAGAGGGAGGCCAAGAGACGAATACAGCTA